AGCGGTCTTAGCAGTGCCACGGCTGTGCCTCGCAGTGCCGCCGGGTCACTCAGTCACTTGGTGGGGGGCAGGCCGGCCGGCTGGGTGGGCAGGTCTCAAAGGAGCCACTTACTCGTCTTGGAGAGCCCCTGCCGCCGACTCTCATGTCAATAGAGTAGAATCCGGAGTGGCTAAACGGGAAATCGCGCCGCCGGGCTGGATGGCTGGCTGGCACACTGGCAAAAATCCTCCCACGCGAGCAAAAATTTCAAAATTTCAAAATAAACGCAAACAAAAATCACGAAATCATCGTACGCTTTGGGTCTCTGTGAACCCCCGTCTCGGCCCTCGCTCTGGGCCGCCTAAGAAGTGGAGCGGGAAGCGGAGTTTCCTTCCCACAATACAACACTCTGTGCCGACGGGAGAGACTCAAACACATTCGTTTCGTTCTACCGTCGCGTGCCGCGTGCCTCGCCGTGCCGTGCCGTGCCGCGCTGAGCCGCACTACTTTGTTAAGTCCACCATTGTCTCGGCGACAATGATGCAACCACACAAAGTACTTCCCCGGCACCGCCAGGCACCGCCAGGCACCGCATTCTCAGCATTGTCCCGAACTTTCAAATTTCGCGCGTCTCGGCGGCGCGGCGGCAGCGCGGCAGCGCGTCCCCACCTTCCAGAAGACGCGCCCCGGCTGAGCCACTGCCAAGCTGCTGCCGCTGCGGGGGAGTCGAGGCGGCTCCGCACAGTGGGCCAGAAGACCGGTGGAGGCGGCCAAAACTCTAGACGCGTTTTGAGCTCCAGAGTCGCTAAGTGGGACTCGAACCGAGCATGTGACCCCACCAATGGATTGCTCTCCGAACGAGGAATCCATTGGTGGGGTCACACGTTTGATTCGAGACCTCTTAAGCGACTCTGGAGCTCAAAAAGCGTCTCGAGTTTTGGCCGCCTCCACCGGTCTTCTGGCCCACTGTGCTCCGCCTGGCTCCGCCGAAACCGACCGCGTTCTCGTTCCGACACTGGCAGGGAAGCCCCTCGATGACGGTAAATCCTCGTTAAAACCGGATCTAAATTATATTTTCATGCGCGGCAACTCGTCCTGGTGATTAAGTCGGCGACGAGGAGCACCGCCCCGGGGACACGCGGAGGTCCGGTGCCGGCCGCTGCCCTCCCCGAGGCGAGCAAAAAACACTCTCCCTCTCACTCACTTTCCCCCACGGCTGCCATTTGGACGCGGCCACCTTCACTCCACCCCGGCGCGCCCCGCCGGCCCTGCCGGCTGCCAGCACAATACCCCTTTGCCCAAGTTCTTCTTCCGTCCACCCGGGCCTCCCCCCACCCCTTCCCTTTGCCACCACAACAACTTGCCGGCTTCATACATGATTAATCCCTTCCGACTGGGCCCGGCAAGACCGGCCCAGGGCCCGGCGGCCCAGCATTGTCTGCCATCCCTGCGCGCGCTGCGGAGAGGCGCCGCCGCGCGGGGTGCGGCGGGGTGCGGCGAGGTGTGGCGGGGCGGGGCGGGGCGGGGCGGGCGGGGCGGGGCGGGGCGGGGCGGGGCGGGGCGGGGCGGGCGGGGCGGGGCGGGGCGGGGCGGGGCGGCGGGGTGCGTCTTTAAGTCCCGGGGGCTTTGCCGCTCACGACGGCCGACGCCTCCGGCGGCCTGCGGCCCGCTCGACATTATTCCGTCCAGCCGCCCCGCCCCGCCCCGCCCCGCCACGCCACGCGCGTAAGCCGGAAATTCGATCCCCGGCCGGCGGGTGAAGCGGCGCCAAGTTTCAACACATTTACCAAAACAAACACCGACTTGCGAACCTTTAAGCGCTTAGGGGGGCTGGCGGGGGCTGGCGGGGGCTGGCGGGGGCTGCCTCGGGTGGTTGCCCGTCACCACCACGGCGGCCGCGTCGCCGCATCGGTCAAGTTGACGACGGTCTCCGCCCCATTTTTCACTTTTTTCACCTCGCAGTAGAACTACAGTAGAGCACGCGGTTTCTTCGAAAAGTCTGGAAAACGACACTGTTTGATTTGCCGCGATCGTGTTGTTTGGAAAGTTTGTCTTTGTGGCTTGGAACGGCGAAGTGCGCCGGACCCTGTGGAGGTGGACGGTCCAGATCTTGTGTGACGCAAAAATAAAAATTAAAAATTGAATTCGATTGAATTTTGCCGCCTGGCCGCTGTTTGCCGGTTGGCAGTGCGGGCGACCAGCGCGCCTGTCACGGCCCGGATAGGCACGCCGCTCGACAGCTCTGCGTCGCGCTGCCACTGCTGCCTACCTCGCAGGCGTCCCGTGCCGCCCGGCAGTCTCCGTCTCTCTCGCACTCACGGGCGCCCATCGGGCACCGCGTGTAGGTGCGAGAGAGACAGAGCGACTCTCGGAATCGGTCTGCGGCTCTGGCTGCCGTCCGGTCAGCTTAGCGGGTCGCCGTTCCGACTCCCCGACGGCCACGCCGACGGCCCTCCCCTTCCTAATGCAGCGCGCAGCGTGCGCCCCGCCACGCCCCGCCTCGCCCCGCCACGCCCGCCACGCCCCGCCACGCCCCGCCACGCCCCGCCACGCCCCGCCACGCCCGCCACGCCCCGCCACGCCCCGCCACGCCCCGCCACGCCCCGCGAAGCAAAATTTGATAACCCGGCGCCGCGCTGCCGCGCTCGCTGCGGCCGGAGTCCCCACTGCGCTTCGTCACGCCGTCCCTCTCGCGCCCGCGGCCCGGGCCGCAGGCGCCGCGGCGGTGCGAGAGAGACGGACACAGAGCAGCCTGCCTCCAGCGCGGCAAAAAGCAGAGCGAGAGAGACATCTGGCGCGGCGCGCGCGGTGGGGCAATAACTGCATTTGGGACCCTAATCTGTGATAATGCGGCCGGAGCAAAATAAGGCGTGTGATTGCGTTTCGTTTTAGTTGGCGCACTGTACACTGGACGCCGGGACAGGCAGCCAGCACCGCCAGCTCGGTCCGGGAGGCGCTCGCTCCGCGACGCGGTTATGACCGTCTCCCCGGGGAGCGTACACAAATCATGACGGTTAGGCGCGACTCAAACTTTCCGCGAAACTCTGTCTGCGGACTCGAAATAACGGGGGTGTGCTCGCGGCCTCGCGGCCCTGCCTGCTGGCTGCCAGTCTCCCCCCCCCCCCCGCGATCGGCGTAGTTTCCTTCGGGGATAAAATATAAGGTCTCGCTCGCGCTGCTCGCGCTGCTCGCGCCGAGGCCGACGGCCGGCGACGGGCGAAGGGCGACTAGACCGGGAGGCCACCCTACAACTGCGTGCCCTTTCCCTGCATCGGGGAGGAGCCCCGGCACTGCATTTACGGCGGAGAGAGCTGTCATGGGTTCGATCCCCCCCGGGGGCGATGCTTTTTTTTTTCCTCTCCCTCCCGCTTTCTCTCCGGACGTGCCGCCGCTCGTTGAGAGGAGTTGTGTTGGGGTGACTTATTACCGCCCCAACTTGGCACACAAGATGGCGATGGGCGTTCTTGGGCGTTCCTGGAGCCCCTCAAGCTGTTTGTCATTTCCATCACTACGCCACTACTACACCACTACACGGCGCTGTGGGGCCGTGGGGGAGAAAAAAAAGAGTTCGGGCGCTCGGGCCCGCGTCCAGTCCGCTGAAGCGTGCCGGCGGCAATAAAATGAGACTTTGGTTCCGAGAGGTGCACATTATTGCCGAATCTGAGCGGCAGCAGCGGCAACCCTTCCTCCCCTCCCCTCCCCTCCCTCCCCTCCCCTCCCCTCCCCTCCCCTCCCCCTCCGCTCCGGGGTGGCCCGGCCCCTCCTCGCCCTCCTGCGATACGTGCGGTAATTTTACAATAAGCTTTCCCTGCCCTGCCGGGTCGGATCGCACACAGCAGCGGGGTCGGCGGGTGGGGAGGGGGGTTGGGGAGGGGGGAGGGGCAACCGAAGGAAGAGAGCAGCGGGCTGCCGCGAGATGAAAGAAGGAAAAATATGGACCAAAAATATACAAGGGGAATAATTCTCATCAACCCCCTCCTCCCCCCCTCTCCCTTCAATCCCCGGCTCAAGCCCTCTGCCCCCCTCCAACTTCATTCCTCCCTGTTTTCTCATCTCGTTTTTTTAGTATCCCTTTTACGGTAAAGCTTTGTCAATGGACCGACAGAAATGAGGTTGGGGCTACAAACACACAGCGGCGCAGCGAGTGGAGTGTGCGGTGCGCGCGGCGCGGCGTGGCCGCTAAATGGTACATGTTCTCGCCGGCCGGCCCCAGAGCGGCTCGCGGCCCGGACAGGCCCGAAAGGGGTGGGAAGGAAAGTGCATTCAGACCGGCCAGGCACGGACCGCCCCGAAAATAAAACCCGTTTTTCGGGCTTTTTTTTTTGTTTTTACTTTATTTTCCTTCCTCCTTCGTGTAAGTTAATACGCCGCAGCCCCGCGCCACGCCGCGCGCGAGAATGTTTTACGCATGGGGAAATTGAAAAGCGGACCGCCTGCACTGTACGGGGGGGCGGGGGGAGGGGGCAGTGACCACGCTCAGTGAGCCAGAATACCGGTGGAGGCGATCCAAACTCTAGACGCGTTTTGAGCTCCAGAGTCGCTACACAGGCCTCGAACCGAGCGTGTGACCCCACCAATGGATTCCTCGTTCGCAGTTCGCAGAGCAATCCATTGGTGGGGTCACACGTTTGGTTCAAGGCCTATTTAGCGACTCTGGAGCTCAAAACGCGTCTAGAGCTTTGGCCGCCTGCACCGGTGCGTCGGGCAGCAGCGCGCACAGTGTAGTGGCACGCTGCTTTCTGCATGTCACTGCGGGACGGCCCCTGCGAGGGACCGGCGATCAAATTGCGGTGACCCGAGGCCGGCCTTGCAGCGATGGCCAGCTGGCCGGCCCGGTCAGGGCTAACGACCCACAACCGCGGTCACAGCGGATGGCCTGCCCATGGCCCCATGGCCTGCCGGTGTGGAATTTCAAACCGCCACCGGACACCCATTTATTTGACCATTTATTTTCCTTTCCCCGTTGTTGTTGTTGTTGTTGTTGTTGTTGTTGTTGTTGTTTTCTCTGCGCGGATCTCACCTCTGACGCGGGGGACCTTCCAGGCCAGCAGCAGCGTCAACATCCACACGGGCAGCGGGTTCATTTTCGGGCCTGCAACACACCAAAGAGGAGCACAGTTTCAATAACCCTGACAGCAAACCACTAATAAGGGGCTCATAAATATATTCCCCTTGACGTGCGTGTCGGCAACTGTGTATGAGGAGTTTTGGCGGGGCGGGGCGGGGCGGGGCGGGGCGGGGCGGTGTCGTGATGTAGACTTGTGTTCGCGCGTTATTAGAGATCTCGAGGGAGGGAGCGAGGGTTTTGACGCGGGATTTGACGGCACTCTGATGAGATCTGGTAACGGCTTTCGCGTGCGACGTGGGGGGCGAGAGAGAGAGAGAGAGAGAGAGAGAGAGAGAGTGAGGGAGAGAGAGAGAGAGAGAGAGAGAGAGAGAGAGAGAGGGGGGGGGGAGAGAAAGAGAGATGGAGACACAGAAGGAGCGACGTCATAGGCAAAGAATGGCACATATGAACGGTGTCATGTTATTACGTGGTGGGCGCAGTCTTCCGCGATGAATGCATTACCTCGTCACGTCGTGTGTATGTGTGTGTGTGTGTGCGTGCGCACGATGTGTACGCAGGGTGTGGGCCCCACGCATCCCTCATCCTCACCACTGACACACCCACTGTACCATTGCGACTTTCATACATTGTAAATTCCTTCGGTGACCAAGTAAAAGAGGTGCGCCTCCCCTCCCACGCACGCACACGCACGCACACGCACGTTCCACGCGAGGCTCCACGTGCGCTGAGGCGAGCGCGATGCCGGGGGAGAGGGTCCCTGGGGCGGGCTGGCTGGGGCGCACAGTGGGCCAGAAGACCGGTGGAGGCGGCCAAAACTCGAGACGCGTTTTGAGCTCCAGAGTCGCTGAATGGGACTCGAACCGAACGTGTGACCCCACCAATGGATTCCTCGTTCGGAGAGCAATCCATTGGTGGGGTCACACGTTCGGTTCGAGTGCCGTTTAGCGACTCTGGAGCTCAAAACGCGTCTAGAGTTTTGGCCACCTCCACCGGTCTTCTGGCCCACTGTGCGGCGCCACGACGTTTGCGCCGTTCGCCAGTAATCATGCCGCTAAGCAGCGCTAAGCAGTCGTGGGAGGGCCGCAATCCTCAACGGAGCGCTTTGGCGGGGACGGTACCAGTGCCTTGCCGTCGCGGCTCTGTCGCGGCGACGAAGCCGCCAAGCCGAGTGGGGCGCCTTGGCTTGCCTTGGCTTGACTCTGCGGTGCGCTGAGGAAACGCCCCTTGTTCGACCGGAATTTAGTCGTGTGTACAGTGTAGGGGAACGGGGGGACCGACGACGCCGAACCTCGTATGCCGTGTGCCGTGCCAGTGGCTACACCGCGAAAGCCGCTTTGGGTTTTCATCCCCGGACGGACCGGTGAGAGACCCGACCAGAGCCCCGCCAGGCACGTCGATTCGGGTTTCCCTCGGGGTTTCCCCAGGCCTCGGTGTTTTTCCGGATTTTTCTATGGTGCACAGGCAGCGGCTCGGAAAGGCCTTCGCATCTTGCGAATAGTGCAGGAAGGCATGCTGTGCAACCACCGCACAGTGGGCCGGAAGACCGGTGGAGACGGCCAAAACTCTAGACGCGTTTTGAGCTCCAGAGTCGCTAAGGGACTTGAACCGAACGTGTGACTTCGCCAATGGACTCCTCGTTCAGAGAGCAATCCATTGGTGGGGTCACACGCTCGGTTCGAGTCCCGTTTAGCGACTGGAGCTCAAAACGCGTCGAGAGTTTTTGCCGCCTCCACCGGTCTTCTGGCCCACTGTGCACCGCGTACAAAGCAAACAAAATCTCAAATTCCGCTTACCACGCTTTTATCAAGAGCATGGCTCTGGTGAGCTATGGGCCCTCAAATCTGGGCCTCGCTGGTCGAGATCGCCGCCTGATCATGTGTGGTCTAGCCCTAAATGGTAATGGTAATGGAGTGTGGGCCAGCCCGCCGGCCTGCCGTGCGCTGCGGTCGCACGGCGCCCAGCGCGCGTGGTGCGAGTGAAGGCGATTCGGTTCGATGGGAGTGGAGATCGAACGGGGTTCGTGCCGCTGCACTGCGCTGCACTGTGCTCGACTGTGCTGCACCACGCGGCGCGGCCACGAGTGTACGGCTTCTGTATACTCCCAAGGGCCCCGCCGAGGCCCCGCCCAGGCCACGCCAAAGTCGCCACGAAGGTCCACGAGGACGCCGGCGGGATGGGGCTGCCAGGGGCTGCGGGACTGCACCGCGCACGCCACCGTGCAGCACCGCAAAGATTTCGCTCGTGCGGTTGAAGCACCAGGGCCGCGCAGTGGGTCAGAAGACCGGTGGAGGCTACCAAAACTCTAGACGCGTTTTCAGCTCCAGAGTCAAGGGGAATCCAACTCAAGATTTTCATGTACACTGATTAGATATAGAGTATGATTACATGTGATTTCTTTTGATTATTTTATTATTTATCACTGATTATAGGCGGTTATTATGTTGATTATTGGGAAATATTAGGGATCATTTGAGCGCCGACCTCGGAAAGCTGTTAAAGTGTCGGAAATTCAATATTGGTGACTTTGGGCAGCCACTGCGTCAAATTTAGTTGCGGTCATAGACCTTCCTCAACGCCTTACTATTCTGAAGACCCTACTCTTTCATGCCCTGCCTCGGGAAGGCTTTGACCGCTGATAGTTTGGGAGCAGTGGTCTCGCAAAAATGGTCAAAAAGTGAATGAATTTCAGAAAATCACCGTTTTAGCTGACTTTGAGCGGTCACTGCATCCAATTTAGTTGCGGTCAAAGGCCTCCCTCGACGCCTTACTATTCTGAAGACCCTACTCTTTCATGCCCTGCCTCGGGAAGGCTTTGACCGCTGATAGTTTGGGAGCAGTGGTCTCGCAAAAATGGTCAAAAAGTGAATGAATTTCAGAAAATCGCCGTTTTTGCTGACTTTGAGCGGTCACTGCATCCAATTTAGTTGCGGTCAAAGGCCTCCCTCGACGCCTTACTATTCTGAAGACCCTACTCTTTCATGCCCTGCCTCAGGGAAGGCTTGGACCGCCGAAAGTTTGGGAGCAGTAGTCTCGCAATAACGGTCGAAAAGTGAATGAATTTCAGAAACTCGCCGCTTTTGCTGACTTTGAGCGATCACTGCATCCAATTTAGTTGCCGTCAAAGGCCTCCTACGACGCCTGAGTGTTATAAAGACCCTTTCCTTCTCAACTGCTCTTCGGAGAGGCTGAATCCGCCGGGAGTTTCGGTGCAGTGATCGGGCGAAAATGCTTACAGACTAGTTACAACGCTAAGCTAGGTCGCCAGCGCGAGCGGCGGCGGCTCGGCGCGCGCAGCGCCATCTCGCGGCGACTCGCGGAACCTCGTCCGCGCGCGAGGTCAGTTTGAGCGGTGACAAAATGTACACTTTTTTTTTCATCTGAAAATCTACGGTGCTATAACCAGGCGCCGAAAATTGAATCCGCGAAAATTCCTCCCTCCTTGTGTGTGTTTGTTTGGGGGGTGAGGGGGCAGGCTGGGGGCAGATCCCCGCCGTCACGCGACCGAACGAAGACCGTCGCGGTGGCCGCCAAGCCGAGCCGGTTCGGCGCGCCCCGCCTTCATTTGTGGGTTGCATGTTGTGCACTTCGCCGCGCTCTTCCCCGGCCCCGCGGCCTCGCGGCCCCCGTGCATCGGGTATCACTGCACACGGCCCCCCCAGTGCGCCAGCCCCACCCCGCCACGCCACGCCACTCCCACGAGCAGCCAGGCATGCCACGACAACAACCAAATTGTGTGAACATTCATCGAACGCGGGAAAACCACGCCGCGGCGTTTTTCTCTCTTTTTGTCTTTCTCTCGCTCCAATCAGGCAGATGGGGTGGAGAGAGAGAGAGAGGGGGGGGGGGGCGGCAGAGAGACAGAGAGACCGCCGGGGGCAGCGTGGGCCTAGTTGGTCGAGAAAGCGGTTTCGTTGTTTTGGCAGTGGTTTCGTGGCGTTTTTAGTGATAGTTCATTCCGCGTCTCTCTCTTTTTCTCTCAGTCTGTCTCTGTGTTATGAGCTGTGTGTGTGTGTGTGTCTCTCTCTCTCTCTCTCTCTCTCTCTCTCTCTCTCTCTCTCTCTCTCTCTCTCTCTCTCTCTCTCTCTCTCTCTCTCTCTCTGTGTGTGTGTGTGTGTGTGTGTGTGTTTCTCTCGATCGATTTGTACTTGATTCCGTGACGCTTGTCTAGAACAGAGTCTGGTCCTTGGAGGCGATCTGCAAAAGCAGTCTCCCTCTTTAACCTTGTTAGTCATCTACTACTTCTCGTAGGCACACCACTAAACTCTCTGCCTGTGTTTCGCCCTCCACATTGTTGCTCCACTATGATGTGGCGGCGGCCTAATTTGTGTTTACTTTTCCCATGTTTTCACGTGTTTCTGACTTTCCCCGCCGTAAATATTGCCGGTTTGAAGGTTCTCTCCGCGCGGGCCGCTACAGTGTGGCCGCCAGAATGCCCGAATGTTTACGCGGCCCCCTCCCCAGCCTCCACCCCAGCTGCGGCCTCCGGGTCCGCCCGCCCCGCCCGCCTGCCCCTGAGTCGCATAAAACACTGTGATATTTCATCGCTTTCCGCCCGCCCGGTCATCCCTATTTATTTTGGCCTCGCTGCTAATTTTCCACGTTTCAGTTTTATAGTCTTCTTCACTGCACACACTTTCCCCGCCTCCTCGCTCTCCGTCTTTCGGCCCCTATTTTGGGTGCCGTTTGTTTCCCTCTCTCTCTTTTTCCTCTTTTTGTTTCCATTTGCGTTTCCTTTGTCGCACTGCCCGCACGCGGCCTTCTTTGCCTCGCCACCCCCGACGCCCCGACCAAGGCCCCGACACCCCCGGCCCGCCGCCGCCCCAACCCCCGTCGGGGCCCGAAATGCAGGCGTGCGACAAGGACGCCACACCTCGCCCCCCATTATTCAGAGAGTGCGAAATTGGCCCGCGTGTGAGCGTGTGTGTGTGTGTGGTGTGTGTGTGCGTGTGTGCGAGTGCGTGTGTGTACTGCGGGTGTAAGCTTGTGTCCTTGTGTGTGTGTGCGTTATGTCTACGACGTGCGTGCGAGTTTGTTTTGCAGTGTGCGCGCGTGCGACTTTGCGTTAGTGTCAGTGTGTCCAACAGAAGCAGAACATATTGTTTTCTCGGCGGTGCTGCGAGGTGCGCTACCCCGGCGTCGCAGGGGCGGGGGCGGGGGTCGCACTGGCCTCGTCCTGTGCCGACTGATTTCGAAAAGAGTCGTTTTGTCGCTCTGTCTCCGTCGCACTCGTGGGCCGGGCCGCGGGGGTGCGAGAGAGACAGGGTGAGTCGTGGGGTGCGGCCTCGGACACGCACCGAGCCACGCACGGCCCATATCAGCCCTGTTTACCCTGGCCCACCCCGGGCAGGACCAAGCCGGCCCGGCTTAAAATCAGTACGTTCACTCTTCGCTTTCCATAACACGGGGGGCGTCCATAAATTATGCACTTTCATTTTGCTTCTTTTGCGCGGCCGGCGTGTGAGTCTGCGACTCGCGGGGTGCATATCGCAGCCTGCTCAACATGGAGAGTGCGCGAGGGGAAAAAAAGGCGCGAAAAAAAAGTCTTTTGACGCGGTAGTTGAACCCCCGGCGCCGCTGGAAAGGATTTCGAGAAACTCAATAATAGCGTTACAGCCACCCTTCCGTGGCAACGGCAGGGAGGGGCCTTCCGGAAATTTTGCATAATAGTTGCTGGACCGCCCCTCCCAGTGTGGGAGCCGCGAGGCAGGGCACGTGCGCGGCCCACAGGGTGGCCAACAGGCCCAGATTAGTGTATCTTTCCATTTCGTTTTCTCTCTCTTTTTCCTTTGCTCCTTATTCCAAGTTATTTGATTTCCAGCCTCCCTCCTTCCCCCTCCTTGGGGCCGCCGCAGCAGACCGCTATCACATCCGTCATTTCCTTCTGTTTTGTTGAGCTTTATGCTTTTCGGTTGGCAATTGTAATTATATGGTCGAGAGAGCGGGGCCGCCGCGCCAATGGAAAAACGGTTTGGGCGGCACCGCGTGGCGGGGCGTGGCGTGGCGGGGCGGGGCGGGGCGGGGCGGGGCGGGGCGGGGCGGGGCGCGTGGCTCCACAGATTGCGGCGCGGTTTGGCGCGCTTTGCGCTGGAGCTAGACAGAGGGAAAGGACTCGCTGAAAAAAGTAAACAGTGGCGTGCGCACGAGGCGGCCGAGGCGAGCGTCCCGGCGGCACGGCGGCATCTCGACGCTCAAGACAGCAGCGCGTGTCTGTGATAACCCCGCGGGAAATGAAATAAAAACACACGGGAAGGGGTGAGCCTCGAGCGCCCCGCGCCCCGCCGCGCCTCAAATGAAGGGGAAAATTCGGACAAAGAGAGCGATTTTTGAATGCGTAAAGTTGAGTCTGAATCGGTCGTTAATCCTCTAAGGCGGTGCCGGGGCCCCTTTTTTTTTTCAAGTTTCGGCACGTGATGTCTGGCGGCGTGGGGACGCCAAAACGCCACGGGGCCTCCGTTCCCCGAGCCAGCCGCCTTGTGTGTGTTTGTTGCAGAATGTCTTTTTCTAGCGAGGGAGAAGGGCAGGGGACCGCAGCGGGTGCGGCTCACGGGACGCCCCAAGTAATCCATTCCAGTTTGCGCCGTTTTTTAAACTCATTTTTAACCAGCCGCAGCCGCAGCGCGGCCCCCGAAAAATAAAGACTTAGCCAGGTGCGGGACGCGAAAGACTAGCCGTGCGGACCACTTATCTTGGTTAACACTCATCCCCGCGTGGCGCCGGCCGCGACAGCCGCGGTGGACATTATTAGGCACCCCGTCGCGATCTCGGTATGAAAAACGCGGCGCGGAACACCGAACACGCGGCGAAGCGCGCCCGCGACCGCCAAGGGTTGAAAACCCCATCTGTCGCGCGGTGTTGTTGTTGTTGTTGTTTCTGACTCATCAGCGCGGTTTCACTGAGTTGCGGGCTCCGCCGGGCTCCGCGAAGGCGTCGGTAACGGGTGGCTGGGTTATAAACAGGCCGCGGTGAGTGGCGACGCGACTCCACCCGGACCGGTTTGACGACGTGGTGGCGGCCTGGCGGCCCGGCGGCGCACCCGCCGGGTACTCCCCGACCTCCCCGTCGTCCTCCCCCCGCGGCCCCCGCCGCGCCCTGGAGCGATAACCTGCTACCTCGCCGCGTCCTCGTTGGCCTCGTGCGGCACGGCACGGCCCGGCACGGCCCGCACGACCGCCAGTGCGCGGTCCCCAACCCCAACCCCTTTAACACCCTCAACTTTGCCCCTCAATTTCCTGGTGCCGGTTGCGGCGCTCGCGGTCCCCGGCAGCGCGGCTCCCCGTCGCCGCCCTGGTGGTGGTGATCACCCATGCCGCCGTCGTCGTCGGGATGCAGTGGTCCAGGCATCGTGTCGCCCCGGTCGTCATGGTGGTGATGGGGGTTCGCGCCAACGGCCGTCCCAGGTTGACGGCGGCGTGGTCGGAGGATCGCGTCGGGGTCGTGCCCCTGGTGACGGCGGAGGGAGCACTCACCTGGACGCGCGGCGATGGCGGGGCGATGGCGGGGCGGGAGTCGAAGGCCGGCGCGGACCTCACCGGCCTACCGGCCTGGCCTACCAGCCTGGCCTACCGGCTACCCAGACGGCGTGCCGGCGAACAGGTGCCGATCAGCTGTCAGCGCTGTCAGCCCGCCGGCGTGCGCGACATGGCAGCCAATGGCAGCACGGCACGCGTGCGCTCGGCGTGCGCTCGGCGTCACGCCTCGGCGGCACTACACTGCGGGGGCTCGCGAAGCACGAGGCGCGCGCGGACACGGCAGCGCTCGCGTCGTCGCGTCGGCGAGTTGCTGGCGGCAGGGGCGGCAGGGCAGCACTTCCACCCCGGACGGCAGCCAACAGCGAACTGGCTGGCCCGGCTCCACCGCCGCAGTGGCAGTGCCGTGCGCGCTGCGCGCCAAACCACCCCTCCAGCCGGCGGACGCCCCCACGCCCCCACCGCCCCCAGCGCCCCCGCCCCCACCGCCCCCACGCCCCCGCGGCACCCACCTAGTACCCCGCAGCAGTTATCAAAGCAGGGGAACGTAGGATGGGGTACCCGGGGACGCCGGACCAGAGCTTAGCAGCAAGGGATGGGGGCGGGAGAGGTCGAGCACGGGCCGGGGTCGCTATTCGGAAACCCGCGACAGGTGACAAAAACCCTCCACCCAAATTCCAGTTCAAGAATGTTTTCTTTTCATTTTTCAAAAACTGACAACACGGAGAGTCAAGCTGTGCGCGCTGTGTCACAGGCTGTTTTGGCTGCTTGTTGTCTGCTCCACGTGCTGGCGGTGCTGGCGATGCTGGCCGGGGAGAGCGACAGAGAGCGAGAGAGGGAGACAGCGCCCGGGAGGTTGGCATCCCGTCCGACGGCGGCGTTGAAGAGGAGGCGGCGACACGCGACACGGCCAGACAAGAATAATCCCCTGCAGAGCGTGCGTGTGTGTGTGTGTGTGTGTGTGTGTGTGTGTGTGTGTGGTGTGTGTGTGTGTGTGTGTGTGTGTGTGTGTGTGTGTGTGTGTGTGGAGGAGTACGCGGCGAGTACACTTTGCGACTTAAGTAGGCTCCACGGAGGAAGCGTTCTCACGAACACAAGTCGAGCGACTCCTGGGGACACGGCCGACAACGAGTCTCGGCTGTGGGGATATTGTTCGCGTCGCGTTCGTCCCTGTCTCTCGCACTCGCGGGGCGTCGCCAGGGGTGCGAGAGAGACAGAGCAATCCATTGGTGGGGTCACACGTTCGGTTCGAGTCCCATTTAGCGACCCTTGAGCTCAAAACGCGTCTCGAATTTTGTCCGCCTCCACCGGTCTTCTGGCCCACTGTGCACTGCCCGAAATCAGCGTGCGGCTTGCCCCACCAGGCCGGGCCGGAAGGCGTGTCTGCATTCGGAGGACGCCTCACTGGATTGTGGGTTGCCGGCAGCTGGCCGCGGTCGGCCGCTGCCGCGCTGGGTAGGCTTGTTACGTCATGAGCTCGCGTGAGAGTGAGAGAGGGCGAGCATCAACCTGTCCCGCTACCGCCCGCTACCGCCAGCTACCGCTCACTGCAGGGACAGGGTCAAGATGAAATCGAGTCACGCAGCCGGTGGTTAACCTCCGTTTATTCCTCTTTCCAGTTACATAATCGGCATGACTCGGCCGCTTGGGGCCTGCCAGAACACGATACGATATCACAGCATTTTGAAACGTGGCTTTCGGACGCAAGCAGTGTGATGGTACGCGGTAAAAGGATGAACAGTTAGTGCGGACGTAACTTGAATCTTTTACAGAGTAGGTGGGCGACGCTTGCCCCGGCTTGCCCTGTCCGTCGTGAAGCTGCTACTTCGGGCATCAGCAGATCCGAGGACAGAAACGGACGTGGCACGCAGACCGACGCGACGGACCGTCGGCGACGCCGTCGGCTGTCCGAACCAGCACACTGCACTGCGCGTGCGGCCTTTGACTCGAACCTCAACAGTATCACAGTTGGCGCAACACTCTGTCTCGTCCCACGCGGGGCCTTACGACCGCTTATGCTTGGGGGCCTTGTCCGCCTTGGCGCCGCCGAGCAGGCGCCGCGCGGCCCAGACGACCGCCAGGACGGCGGCGGCGACCATGGCCAGGGCCAGGGCGACGACGTCCAGCAGCAGGTACTGGTACAGGGGCATGTCCGCGCCGAGGGGGCGCAGGTGCTTGGCGCCGCGGTTCCGCACCACGTACTCGATCCACCACACTGCCTCCGCCATGGCGGCGCGGGGGCGGTCGCGGAACAGCCGCGCCACCTCCTTGGCGCGCTGCAGGTACCTGGAAAAGCGGAAACAAATCGTTGGGGGTTTAAAGACGTGCCCGCGCCGCCCGCCTCCGCGGAAACACCGCAAAACGAGCATCTCACCGCGGGTTGGACACCATGCCGTGGATCTTGGCGTGCACGTAGTCCGCCGTCATGAGGGCGGAGTCCATCTTCTCCGCGATGCCCAGCGACATGTAGAGCTCGATGTTGGACATCTGGTCGGCGAACAGCGGAATGCCCAGCATGGGCACGCTGGAGTGTAGCGACTCTAGGGTGCCCATGAGGCCACCGTGGGTGATGAACAGCACAGTCTTAGGGTGGGCTGCATAAGGACAAAAGGGCGCATCTCAAAATCGATCTAATTTAAAGGGTTCGGAAGATCCCCTATTGTTTTCGGTCTGCGTGACGAATGAAGGTTGCCATCAAATTTAACCTCAAAAAGTTTGCCACGCATCAAATTTGCTGCGTGGCAACCTAACCTAACCAAACCTAACCTAACCTAACCCAACCTAACTCAACCTAACCTGACCATCAAATTTGCTGCGTGGCAACCCGAAAAAGTTTACGACGCATCAAATTTGCCCGGTAGCCGGGCAGCAAATTTGATTCGAGTAGCATTGGAATTTTTAAGTTTTTTCGATAGCGTGACTTACTGAGGATGTCCATCTGGGGCAGCCACTTGGCGACGCGCACGTTGGCGGGGACCTGCAGCCCGTCGTCCTCCCACTTCCAGAGCACGCGCTGCGGCAGCTTGGCGAAGGCGGCGAGCAGCGCGTCGCGCATGGCGGCCGGCATGGTGGCGGCGCGGATGAGGGAGCCCAGCGAGAAGAAGACGACGCCGTGCTGCGCCTCGTCCATCCACGCGCGCAGCGAGGAGTCCAGCTTGCCGGGGGGCGCCTGCGAGCAGAGGCAGTTGCTGTGGTCGGCCGTCTAGGTTGCACCGCCTCGGCACCGCCGGAGTGGGACGGGGACGGTGGATGGACCCTCGCGATAAACGTACCGGGATCGCACCCACCCGCCGGGGTGGGTACAACCATCGCGCGATGGCCGTACCCCTTGGTACACTTCTCCGAATGGTACGGTACATTCATGGCACGACATGGGCAAGTCAAGACAATGTCACGCACCTTGATGTGCAGGCCGCCGACGTGCACCAGGTTGGGCACCACGGGCCTGGCGGCGTGGATGCTCACGTGCCGGTTGAGCAGGATGAGGCTGGTGTTCTTGACGAGCTGGTGGAGCGGCGGCACGCCCGGCCCGAAGAACTCGCGCACCACCTCGTCGCTCGCGTCCTGCAGGTGGGCCTGCGCGAAGGGGAAGCGCGTTCACAAAACACGTAACACAGTGGACGGCTCAGGCGGCGCGCTGCCCCCGCCTACCTCACCTTGAACAGGTAGTTGATCCACAGCGTACTGGCCGTGTTGCAGAAGCGCTGCCACAGCGTCATGGGCCCGCTCAGGTCGGTGAAGACGTTGTTGATGTAGGCCGGGTTGTCGACGGAGCCGATGCGCTCGTGCATCCAGGACACGTCGGGCGCCGAGGACACGGTGACCACGGGCAGGCCCAGCTTGTGCGGCACGGCGGCCCAGCAGTCCGACGCGAACACCTCGGTGAGCACCACGTCGAAGCGGCCGTAGCCGCCGCGCATCAGCTTGTCGAAGGCCGGCATCGAGAACACCTGCCGGCAGAGGCTGTTGCCGGCGCGCTCCTTGATGATCATCAGGGCCTTGTACATCTCCATGCCGGGCAGGCTCCACGCCGACGTGGACACCATGTCGAACGTGAAGGTGCTGATGAGGGAGGGCCGGCCGCCCGACGTGTCGATGTCGGTCCAGTTGGCCACGGCCTTCTTGTTGGGGAACGGGCTGAACAGCACCACCTCGTGGCCGCTCTCCACCAGCCCCTCCGCCAGCGCCTGCGCACAAAAGAATGCGCTCAGTGGGATTCGAACCCGCGATCCAAGGCCGCGCAGCTTCCTACCAGCCCTTGGAAAGATTAAGACTCGCGCTGGGGTTTGAAGCCTTTGTTGTTCGTCGCTGCTGCAGACTTACTCCGTCGCCCCGTCTCTCTCGCACCCATAAGAAACGCCCCATGAGAGCGAGAGAGACAGGGCGCCGGTGTCCCGCGAGCGTCGGGCGCGTTTAGCGGAGTTGGAATCCCTCATCTAGACTGGAGTGAGCAGGCCAAGAGATAGGCCGATAACGGCAGTACAGTGGCGCACGGCGCACACGGAACCGAGCCAACAGTTTATCGGGCGGGAGAGAGAAAGAAAGCACGAGGTTCTTTGTCGTAGCTCCTGTGGGTGCAGTGGCCCTGCACTGACGGCGACACACGTCGGGGCCCAGGTGCGCCGAGTCACTGCCGCCACTTTACATTTCATTCCGAAGAAAACGACCAACGCTGCAGACTGGCCATTTCCAGGTTGTGCTTTCCACTCACTCGGCGCGGTAGTGCTGCGATTTACGCTCCGCTCACCTTGAACATCAAGAAGTGGCTGTGGGCGGGCAGCGGGAACAGCCCCAGCACCCGCAGCGCGTCGGCGGGCGCGGGGCCGCGGCATGCCGCCAGCACCACCAGGAGGCCGAGCGCCAGCGTCGCGCCTCGCGCGCCAGCCATGCCGATGGAGTGCCTGCCGGAAGTCCTGCAACCAATCAGCGGGTCAGTGGCACTACTGGCACTTCGACGCCTCGCGTCGCCCCGTCGATAAGCCTTCAGGAGCACATGCGCACATGCACACACACACACACACCACCGGTTTGCTGGACATGCCGTGGCCATGCCGGGGCAGCGTGATCGCCCGAGTCACACTTTGCTAACAATCGGCTCTAGTCGGCATTGCGAAAAGTCAAGCCGTTTTTCCGAACATGTACGTACACAGAGAGAATCACAGACGTTCTCAATAAAAATGACAGACAGGTTCACACTGAAATCTTAAAACTTCAAAGAAAGACGTCTGCTTTCTCGCTCTCGCTCACATTATTGCCGGCGTCTGCTCTCTCTTTACCAGAAGCTCCTCCCCGACGCGATGTTCCACATCGTGCCCCTGATAACGGTCCGCCACTCACGAAATGCGCGCCAGGCGGCACGCACGAGCAAGTCGGCGACTCAGCGACTCTTGCCTGGCGGCGCCTCGCGGGGCCTCGCGGTGCCTCGCGGTTCGGGAGGAACACCGACTAGCAAACACGCCGCGAGGACGCCGAGGCACGCCGAGGCACGCCGCACACTCGCAGACACACACACAATGAGCCGCCGGATTCCCGAGGCACACAACTCACCACAGACGCACACATACACTCACACACTGCACTGGCATGAGCACGCACGCGTAAACACACTCACACTGGCGCACCGACGAACACTGTCATGTCAACACACACAGTTGGCTGGACCCCCTGGCAGTCAACCTCACGCGCGGTTTTCCGGCACTACTTACTGCTCTGGTTAGTCCCTTTCCCGCCTTTCTTCCAGTGCCGTGTCGAGACTCCGCGCCGCGTCGTCGCTGCCGCTACCCCGTGCGCTGCCTACGGCCCTGCCGCCCTGCGCGTGGAGTATGACCGTGCGCGGCTGGACCGGACCGCGCTCGCCACCGACTGACGGACTGGGACCGACTGACTAGTAGATCGGAGCTTCGCGACGCGGCGAGGCGCTCTAGAGGCACGGCGGCCACTCCGGCGTGACTGGCAGATCTAGTGAATAGAGCCTGGTGGGGCTGGGCTGGGCTCGCGTAGCCTGACTGGGCCTGACCCCGCGGGAACGCTGCCCCGCCCCGCCCCGCCCCGCCCCGCCCCGCCCCGCCCCGCCCCGCCGATCTCGGCCCCGTGCTCTAGACCGTCTTGATGCAACGCGGACGCTCGCCTTTGACAGCAGCGACGCCCACCACCACAAACATGCCACACCAAAAAATAAAAAGATTACAAAAATGAGCTGATTTTATGGCTGCAGCGCGACGCTGTCCCCGACCCTGAGTTGAAGAACCCGAGTCCACGAAACTATGTGGAGCGAGATTGTAACGTGATATCTGCTGCAGCGGTCCTCGTGTAAACAACACTTTGTAAGTGTCAATCAGCTGTTGGGATTAACACGCCGAGCCTCCCAGGAATTGTATCACTATCGCGGCTATGAATAGCGGTGACCGCGCGGCGACAAGACCTTTATCAATCACGACCTGCAAGTCATTGCACCACCGCGGTAGTGCCAGTGGGGTGGCTGCACCTGGAGGACCGGTATATTTTATAGCTCAGGTCAGCGCAGGCCTAGCTTTACAAAGGAAACTTTTTTCAAAAATTAAAGATCACTACTCTGATTTGCGCTCTGATTTGTGCCTGTCAGTGTGGTTTTTGTTGTTTTTTCCACGCGAGATTGGCGCCGTCATGGAGGAGGGTCGCGGCCTTGACTTATCAACCGGGCGCTAATTGCCTCGCTGATGAAGCGGCTCTTGCTCCTCCGGCCGACGCCGTGACACGCCGTGTGTCTCGGAGTGACTGTCGGCAAAAATGACGGCTTCATTGGCGTGGCGGATTGCGACTGGGATTGCGGAGACGAGTGGAAACGCGTGGAAACGCCGCGCCCGCCGGGCAGGGCAGGGCAGGCAACCCATCGCGCTCTTCTAGCGCAGCTTCGGGCCGCGGCCGCGCGAGGCCGCCACTGCGCCAGTGTCGGTGCGTGCGGACGGCGGCGGTGTCGTCGTCGCCCCGTGCAACGCGGGAGACACAGCATCCCTAAAAATACACGTGGCGGGGGATTGAACCCGCGTCGCTACGCGTCGCGCGTCGCAGCCGCATCGGCGCTCTGCGGGGGGGCGGCCTCTGGTCGAGCCGGGCGAAGGTGCATCCGGGGTAGGGTGCTGCAGCCTAGCCGCCGCCGGGGACGACCATTTCAGGGGGAGGGGGACAGGAAATCAGCTTCTTCCGACATACGGATCGTCGCGCGGCGCGGACTCTCGGCACAAATCCGTTTTTCAGTCGATTCAGATTCCCGATCCGCTGCGACGCACAGCGCGCGGTATGGTAATCCTGCATTGTAGCCGTTTGGCCCTGACAGGCGGGCTCGCAGCGCAACGCGAGCTTTTTGCTTTCCGCTGTCGTCGAGTTATCCCTCTTTGTTTCGGCGGCCAGGTTCGGGGGTCCGGGTTGTCGCTGGACCCAGGTCCAACATGACTAACCTAACCTAACCCACAGCCGGCTAGTTACGCTACACTGCGACCCTATTTCGACCCCGACACTGGAAGGCCAGGGCCGCCGCGTGCCCGTGACGCGCCCCTCGCGTGCGGGACGCGTGCCAGCCGAACGCCCCTTCGGCACCCTTCGGGCCCTGAGCCCTTCGGCGGCGCACGAGTGCGACGGAGACGCGCTTCGGCCGTCGGCGTGGTGCACTTGCCGGGGGCGCCGGCGGCGACCGGCCTCGACTTGCCGCGTGCCTGCCGTGCGTCGCCGTGCGTGGCCGTGCGTCGCCGCCGCAGTCGTGTGCCGCGCACGCGAGCGCGCCGTCCCGTGTCCGCCCTCACGCGTTGCAGGTCGCCGTCGTGGACCCGCCAGCATCGCCGAGCCCGCCCCGCCATGGTGTCCAAAGGTACGGCTCCCTGTCTCCGCGTCCCCTCACGGGCAGGCACGTGCCCTCACGCTACTCGAGTTTATCCTTGAGGTCCTTCGAAAATCTTTCTTGATTCTGAAGGCCTTAAAGACCGCCCCCCGGCCCGCGCACCGTACAGTTCAGACGTTGAACGGTGCTCTGAGGGCCTCGACTCACCCCGCAATCTAGATCTGAGAGCGAAAGCAGAAAGCACCCGACCAGAGTGTTGCTCACTGTTGCGTCAGAGCCCCCGGAGTGCTGCACCCGCCCGCCGGACACGCCAGCGTGGCGGGTTGCCTGCCTGCCCACTGCAAGGGGCTCCGCGGTGCTCCGTGCTCCGCGGCTCCGGGCCGACGCGCCGGAGCAGACGATGGCCGTTGTCCGAAGTCAGGCCGGCCGGGCCGGAGGTCTCTGGGCTTGGCCTGGGCTTGGCCAGACCGACCGAGACTGACTGGCCGGTCGCAGCGGGCACACGCAGCGCGGCAGGGCTCCACGCGACCCCGCGGAAAAGTGACGCAAATTCGAGTAAATGCGGGGCAGCGTGGGTAACTCAGAGCTGTGCCGTGACTGGCCGGCGACATGTTAAATTGCAGGGACACTTTTGCTGTTATGGAGTACATCCAAAAAAATATTTCTTTTCTATTAATATAGTGATTTTATAGTGTTTTGAGCGTTTCACATCAACGGCAAATTTTTAAGAAATAGTTCGATGGCTCCGAGTTTGAGCGTTTCTACGCCACTGACTGGCTCCTCCCGCTGCAGACGCTCCCCCGCCGCCGCCCCGGCGCCACCACAGACTGCGGCCGCGGCTGCCCTCCCTCATGTCCCTGAGCAGCCTGCGAGGCACCTTGCGCCGCGGCAGCTACGGCCATGGGCGTAGCCACGGACGCGGCCACGGACGCGGCAAGGACCGGTCCTCGGGCAGGCTGGACTTCCTGGACAGCGTGATGCGCTGGGCCGAGCGGCCGCGGTCCAGGGACTCCAGGGACTCCAGGGACTCCAGGGCGGCCAGGGCGCGGCGCGACCTTCACCGCGACAGCGCCATCCGCTGGCCCGACATGGCCAGCAGTGGCGGCGGCGACAGCGGCCTCTGCAAGAGCTGCCTGTCGGCCTGCTGCTGCTGCGGCTGCTGCTGCTGCTGCCTCAACCTGCAGTACGTCCGCACCCTGCCCGGCATGCTCAGGCTGGCCCAGCTGGTGAGTGGAGCGGAGCGGACTGACAGTGGAGTGGAACACGTCGTCACCGGCAGCCTTCTTCCCCAGGCCCTGTCCTGGCTGTGCAACTGGCTGGTGGGGCGCTACGCGCTGAGGGTGGCCGCCACGCTGGGCAGCGCCATGCCCTCCTTCTTCCTGGCCACGGCAGGCGGCGCGCTGGGCTGCAGCCTCCTCCTGGCAGTGGCCCTGCTGTCCACCAAGAGTGTCGCCCTCCTTAGAGCCTCTCTCTTTGTAAGTCACTGCGCTTTCCTAGCAGAGTCGCATCTCTTTAATAGCAAATAAGGATTAAGGGCTTTAATGATGCTCACAGGAAATCGCTTTCCATGCGACAGCTGTGGGGCTGTATGCCAGCCAGTCGTCCTACCTACATGTAGCAACGTCGATCTACTTGGAGCCGTACAAAAATGATCTGGAAGCTTACACCTACCCAGCCATCGTGACATCTTATGTAAGGAACCAATGCTCACTGCCATTTCAAAAACGTTCTACCTCTGAATAGATTTCAACAACTTTGTCTTTCATTTTCAGTGGCTGGGCTATTTTCTAGCTGCATTGCATAGTTTAGATACTGTGTACGCTCTAAAGCATTATGGAAGATCTCGCCGCTAAGTTCCTTTCTCCTGTACAAGACTTGCCAAAGACTGGCCACCCAATGCATTTCTGTTGTATAAAGTAAGATTCATTCTGTGATAAGTAAATACCTAATTTAAGGATATCGAACTAATTTTACAAGTTTACTAATATTTTTAATAATAATCAGCTAGTAACATAGCATGTTTATAAAATATAAAACTCATTTAATTCCTTATTCAACAAATGTTGATCCCAGAATAATAACCAAAGTTCACTAGTCAACTCTTTCTATTCTGCATTAAATAAATCATTTGACATTTATCTTAACAATTCATTTCCCATATCTCCAAACACAAATAAAACAACAAGGTGGAAGTTAATCATTGTACCAATCAAGGAAAAGCAACGAGAAGGACATAACCAACAAGAAGAACAGGATATAAACACGAAGTCCAGCATTTCGTTGAATAGCTTGGCGGATTTGGGTATTTGCATCTCGAACATTTTCAGTTGCTCCAACAACCATGCTAGATATCCGCTCAACATCTTGCTCTTGCTGCAGAACCTTCTCAGTGAAAACTTCCTGTAACTCGGCAATCTTGACTACTTTGCGTTCGATTTGACGCACCTAATAAAAAGAAAAGTACAAAGGTTAACAATAATTTATAATTTAATAAAAATGGAAACATAGAAAACATCAAGAAAATTTCTCACCTCATCTGACAAACTGTTTAGCTCATTGTAGAGATGAGCATTTTCTGACTCAAACATTTGAAGCTCCTCTGCTGACAGTTGATCATCTTCCATCGCAAAAGGAGCTGCCAGCTCAGCTAGTGCGGCTGATCTCGCTGCAATAAGTGCTGCACTATTGTCTAAATTTTTCTCCGGCCTGTCTTCAGTGTTGACATCTCCATCATTGGATCTTCCATCAGATAATGAGTCTTCCTTTATAAAACTACCAGTTGATTGGTCAGATATTTTTCTAAATCTTATATCGGTCACTTCTTTTGATACATTTGTGTAACTCGCATCTCCTTCTAATCGGGACATCTTTTGGGAATCCATGATTCTTTTCATTCGTGTCATGTGAAGCTCTGTGTAAATGTGACAGACACTTTTTAAATATGATTCCAAGAGGTCTATCACAGATTGTTGATGTTCCTGTGGAGGCAACACCCATTTATTAACAATTAAAAATTATTAAGGCATAAAGCAAAATACATTTACAAGCCATTTTTTGACTCTTACCATAAGTTGGCTTGGCACATCGGTGATTGCAGTTTGCCTTCTAAAATCATGAATCAAAGCTGAACAGGTTTTCATAATTCTTTGAGCTCCAGCATCAATTTTGTCCCTTTCAATATCAGACAATTGAGGACCATCAGAGAGGTAACTGTTAAGTTGTAAGTAACCTTTCCGGTGTTCTAGTAGAAAATCCCTCAGTCTGGAAATCTGAAACCATCAAAAGTACATAACAGCTCCTACACAACAAAAACAAATGATAAGAATGTGGTAAGCACTGTACCTGCGTTGCAATTTCCTTGGATTTAGTTCCAAACAGTGATTTTTTGGCAGCATTGATGTTAATATTCTATTCTTGTCCTGATCTGCTGTTGTTATTCCCAGAGCTTTGTTGCGTACACGCACAGTCTTCACACAGGCCTTAAATAAGACCGTGATATCCATTTTTCCGATAGATTGACAAAGCAAGCCCAAGTAGAGGACCTCAGAATCCTACTAGAGACAAAACAAATCAAAGAACATTAAAATCAAAAACATTATTTGTTTTAAAGTACTTAAATGAAATTATAAAATATTTACCTCAATTACAGACAACAATCATAACATCTTGAACAAGCCTCCACTGTCGGCTATCCCCTAACCTGAAGTCGAGTGTTTGTTGCGGTTTAAACAGTAATCATGCAAAGTGTGGTGTCGGCTTTTTGTCAGTTTTACCTTTAGACAAAATATGAGTAAATGACATGCTCTCGAGCGAAAGTCACGAAGTTTTTGGATGGATCTACACGTATTTCACAAAAGTGACACCCATGTAAACACGACGACGAAAAGTCATGGGTTCTGACCTGTAGGTTTCTCATACTACAGTGTCATTGCGTTGTTTTATTTTTCATTTGTTTCGCTGCTCTTTTGTTCTTCTCAAGTTGAATGTAGTTCTGGCATAATTTTGGGTAGCTCAGCCAGGTTTGGCCATAGAAACCTTCAAATAAATGCATGCGGCCATACTCATGCTTTTGAGAAGTGTGAATGGATTCCAGAAGCATACAACAAACCGATTGTATCAACACTTTATTTATTTCATATCAAAAATTAACATGTATGACATAAAATATATCTGAAGAAAGCTCTAAGCACATTGATCCTCTTTTAGGACGTTTCAGAAGGCTTTCTTCCTATTCTTTTATTTTTTACTTGTCACAGTTCTTGGATCTTTCATCACTCTGAGGAGAGCGCTTGGGACGTCACAGATCATTTCTCTTATTTTATCCACACGAACGCAAAAAATCACACAAAGCTTTCGCCCCACGAGCGGGCTTCAAAACCACTGAGTTGGCTGTTGGCGGGAAGCTACACCGTAAAATTGTCTTGCGATAGCGAGATGTGCGTTCACTCAAACCACAGCAGCAAAAAGCTAGTAGGCCGTATTTCTACAAACATTTGAAAAAAAAACATAAAAAGAAGAAAAAAGGGGGGAAATAAAATATCACTCTGGAATGTCTTGACGTTTTCGGAGGCATATTTGGTTTCTGTGTATTTTCTTCCGGGTGGAGGCGGGTGGAAGTGTCCTGGCATGCTTGGCAAAGGCGCGGTGAGTGGTGAGTCCAGTGAGTCCAGGACTCGGCACCTTTGGGGGACGACAGGATGACAGGACTCGCCCTGGGTCAGTCGGGGAAGCATCACGGGCAGAAGCTGTACAGGCGAGGCGAGGCGTGGCGAGGCGCGCGGCGTCCTCTCTGGTCTCGAGCGACGCCGCTACCTGGCTGCTAATGGACCAGCAGCTCTAGCAGGCACCCCTCATGGCTTGACTGCGGAAAAACGCACAGAAAAAAAACAATAAATTCAGAGAGAAAGTCTTGGTGTGTTGTTTTTTTTTTTTGTGGTGGAGTGACTCACAGCTGAGGAGGCCTGAGGCACCCTTGGCCAGCAGGTCGGTGCCCTGGTGGACGTTGGCGGCAGTGCCCTCCACGGCCTGCGTGATGTCGGTGCGCTTCTGGTCCACGAACTGGTTGGCCTGCTTCAGCTTTTGGTCCACTTGTTGGTTCACCTGCAGCAAGGATTTAAAAAAAAATATAAAGAATCTGGGCGAAAAAAAGAGGTTCCGGGTGGATTCGAACCCGCGACCCTTGGACTGACCGTGTTGACGGTGCTGTCGATGGCGCCCTCCGCGGTCCGCAGCCCCGTGTCCACGGTGTGCTCGACGGTCTTGACGCCCGCGTCCACGACGCCCTCCACCGTCTTGACGCCCGTGTCCACCGCCGTCTCGGCCATCTTCATGCCGGACTGCATCAGCTCGCTGGCCTTGTTGACCTGCGGGAGAGAGGTCGTTAGTGGGCCCAGCTCAACAGTGTCCCTCCCGACGAGAGACAGACACTCACCTCGCGGTCCAGGGCGTCGGTGGCGGCCTTGCTGGCCTCCGCGGCTGTGGAGGAGGCGATGCCCTCCACGTCGTGCACGGTCTTGGTGAGCGACTCCTGGGTCTTGTGCGCCTGCTCGGCCAGCATGTCGGCCGCCTCCTTCTGCTTCTGGTGCGCCAGGTCCTCCACCTCGTGCTTCTTGCGCTCGAACAGCTCACTCGCCTTGTTGCCGAGGCTCTTGAACGCTGTGGGCAGAGGGACATCGTTACACTGTGCAAAACCCCTCATCAGCAGCCATCCACCATCAGGGGTCGTAGGCTTGGCGAGGGTGTGGCCGGGACGAGCAGTACGAGCACCGCGACGGTAGCGTGCTGTGGGCCCGCGACGCACATGGCGGGGCGGGCCGGGGCGGGGCGGGGCGGGGCGGGGCGGGGGGGGGCGGGCGGGGCGGGGCGGGGCGGGGCGGGGTCAGTTGGCGCTGGGATGAGTAGTGTCGAGGCCATACCGGCCATACCCACTCCCCACGCCGCACCGCGAGCACCGCGAGGAAGGCAAGGCACGCCGCTTCGCCGCCCACGCCACCTCTCTCGCGGTGTCGTCGCTCTGTCTCTCTCGCACTCAGGCGGCGCGCGGACTCAGTGTGCAGGCGGTGGACCGCCGGATAATCTGCGGGCGTGATCCGATGAGATCAGTGACTGCGGAGCGGCGCGCGGCGCGGCACAGTGGGCCAGAAGACCGGTGGCGGCGACCAAAACTCTGGACGCGTTTTGAGCTGCAGAGTCGCTAAACAGGACTCGAACCGAACGTGTGACCCCACCAATGGATTGCTCTCCGAACGAGGAATCCATTGGTGGGGTCACACGTTCGGTTCCAGTCCTGTACAGCGACTCTGCTCAAAACGCACTGAGAATTTTGGCCGCCTCCGCCGGTCTTCTGGCCCACTGTGCCTCCGTCGCTCTGTCCTCGTCTCACCTCGTGGACTGTTCGTGAGTGCGAGGGAGACGGAAGGCCCCAGCCTGCGTTCAAAACACTGCGAATCCGCCCTGGAAACAGAATGCGCCCAGTTTCCGCTGGAGAGGAAGCGCCCGCCGAAGAGAGGGTAGGCAAGCCTGCCGAGCAGCGGTGCCGCCCCGCGGCCTAGCCTCCAGGCGCTCGCCGTCACGTGCCGTCACCTCACGGCGGAGTGCGCGCCGCAGGCTGTGACGGCCGTGACTGCCGTGACGTGTGGCGGCCCAGCGAGCCCCCGCCCAATTGGAGCTCCGTCACAACCAATTGGAGTGCCGTCACTGCCGTCACTGCAGTCACCACGAGTCGTCCACGAGCCGGCCAGGAATTTCGCTCGCGTTCCACACGGCGCGGTGCCGAACGACGTGAAGCAGCAGGCAAAGATACTCATTGCACGGCGGATTCGTGTTTGCGGGGATTGGGAAGACTTTATCAACGCGTTGTTGCCGGGCCGGGGAATCAGGGCCACGGCGGGGCCGAGCAGGGTCACTGCAAAAAGCACACACTCGGTAGCGCTGACCGCGTGTCAGCCCTTCCTTTCCGCCCCGCGGGGCGGGGGAGGAGGGAAGCCCCAGGCTGGCCTAGTCCGGCTGGAAATCGATGGACGCGGTGAGTCACGAGTGCCGCCAGTGTGCCGCCGTCACGGACGCTGTCCACGGACACGGACAGCGACACGCCATTACCGCGAGCACTTTTTGAAACAACGAGCGCGCAATGAGCTGGGCGGAACCACGGCGGAACGACCGGCAGGCGGGCCGCAGGTGGGAACGGCCGAACGACGGACGGACAGACAGACCGACAGACAGACAGACAGACAGACAGACAGACAGACAGACAGACAGACAGACAGACAGACAGACAGACAGACAGACAGACAGACAGACAGACAGACAGACAGACAGAAAGACAGGCGGGCGGGCGGAATGACGGAATGGACATGTGGTGGACAGGAAGGTAAACAGACGGACAGGTGGAATGGTTGAAAGACATCGAGACGACAGACGGACTGTCGTGACAAGATGACACGGTCGTGTTTTGGCGCCTCGCCGTGGCGCCTCGCCGTGGCGCCTCAGGTCCTGCGGCAGGCGGTCAGTCAGTCGGGCAGGCAGGCCCCCTGCCAGCACGTCGTAGTGCAGGCCGGCCTTCGCTGCGCCATGGCTAGGCCAGGCTGGCCAGGCTACGCGCTGCGCCAAGGTCAGGGGCGCGCGGCGGGAGCGGGGTGGCGTTTGGGGGTTTGGGGCGGGGCTAGACAAGGGAGAAGGGAGAGACAAGCGTCCCGCCGTCGCCACGCACTTCCGGGCCTATCCAGGTCAACGCGTCGGCGCGGGATCGGGCGTGGGTTCGATCCCGGCCGGGGGACGCGCGCTTTTCGGGATTCCGATGTTGTTTTTTGGCGCGCGGCTGGGCGTGAGACAGCGTGAGATGTGCCATCTGGCAGCAGAGGCCCTGGCCGCCCTGGCCCCAGAATAAGACTTTGATTGTGCCGACGCGACGCGTGCAGCTGGACGTGTTGGCGGGTCGCATTCCAAGCGCGCTGCATCATCGGCGACGTCGGCGACGTCCAATCCAACCGATCCACCGTCCGCCATCGACCGGTTGAGCCACGGCCGCGCCTTACTGCCTGCCTGGCTCCCCGGTTCCGGGCCGCCGCTCCAGCCAGATCCAGGGACGCGGCGGCTGCTTTTACGGCCTGGGTCTACGCGGTCCTGGACGCGGACTAGACCGCCAAGGACGCCGCGCGCCAATTTCGTTCCGACAGGTGGGCAGGCAGCGAGCCCCGGGCGTGAGGCTAGGCCGGGCTAGGCCCCAGGGGCGCCCCGAGGGGGGCGGGCGAAATGTCACGACCTGGGCCAAGTCGACGTTGGCGTCCAGGTGACAACTACGTCATCGTGCTGCAGGGCGGGGCGCGGCGGTGCGACGCAGCACTGCAGCCTTACCGTTTCCGAACATGGTGAGGAGGTGGAGAAGACGGTCCTGGGTGTCAACTACGCTTCCTTTCGGTGGCGGCGGCGGCGAACCTGACCGTGCTAGACCTCGCGACGCTCGACGCGGAACTGTGACTGTGTGTGGCGCCGCGCCGCGCTGCCCGGGACCCGACGAGCCGGGCGAGCCGCGCCTCGCGAAGGTCGCCCCCTCCCCCTCCCCCTGAGAACACCGTCCCTCCCTCCACACTGCCGGCCAGCGCGGCCAAACTGGAACAGTTGGCTGGAAATTTGGTCCGCACAAGTTTCGAGTGTATGTAAGTCACTTACAGTGTGCACCGTGGTGTCCATGGGATCCAGAGGGATCCAGAGAATGGCGGTCCTAATTGTGCTTTACTTCTTGTCCGAATTCTGAAACGTCACCAGGGAATGCCATAGCAAGTGTTCAGACACTACCAATGGGAAAAGTGGGATTCCGAGAAAACAACAAAACACAAATGAGTGATTGACAAGTTTATTTGAGGTAGAGCATTTTTTAAAAAATACAGTCAGTGAAGTTAGAGTGCGAAACAATCACTGTCATTTAAATGCCATACAAAAATTAAATTAATAAATAACATGATTATGAAAAAGTACAAAAGTATAAAAAAACCTCATAAGAAAATGTAGTGCACAAAAATATGCAGCAAAAGACACAATTGATCACAAATCACAATGACATGATGAAAATGAAAATATTCAATGCATGTCCAGGAACATGTAAGTAGCTCAGTGATCACCAATGTGTTCATACAAAATCAGACATCACCAGTTGTTCGGAATCACCAGCAATGCTTTTTAGAATCTAAGGAGATCAAGATTTAAAGATTCATGTTAGCGTCTGGGATTATGTCCGGTAAGGCACTACTGGATGAACAAGTATGATAAATCTTTTCTACTTGAGTATTTTTTATCACATATCTATATACAAGACCATTACAATACTGGCAGTGTTCTGTGGATATATGTTTATGATAATGATCTTTTAAGACGCTAAAATCTGACTCGCAAATCTGACAGTAAAATGGTTTCTTGAGGGCCTCCTGCCGGGCGGTGGCGGACATCCGGGGATGGACCGCATCGGTGGAGCAGGCCAGAAGCCCGTCCTCGCTCTCCTGACTGGAGGCACAATTACCGAATTCATCTGATGTAGTAGATAGCTCTTCCTCTTTCTTGGTGATATCTTCTTGGCAGGACATTATAACCTCTTTAGACCTCGTATAGGCACAACACTGCAATGACAATATGCGCACTTTACTAAACATTGATTAAGTCATAGATCGAGTTGCCTGTCAGTTTATTTTTTCGGCCGTACTTACCAATGGAGTGTTTATTGATAAAATGATAGCAGACTGCACTCTGCAGACTACAAAAGAGAGCGAGAGTGAAAGACCGCGACCGGTCAGCTTTGCAAAGTGGCCGCAACGGACTGTAAGCGCTAGTGGCGCTGGAGGTTTTATCAATTAAACGAAAAGGAAAAAAAAAACTCAATTTGAAATTTTAATTAATAAAAAAATTAATTAACTTGCAACCGAGTCAGAAGTTTTTGAGATTTAGAGAAGGAACATTCAACTAAACAGTGATAAAGCAGCTGAGTTCCGTGACTGTACTAAAAACTCCACATTAGCCAACACTGGAACGCATCACAATGTCTACAAGACAAAACTTTCGAGTGGTCCTCAGTGTACAAAATACAAGAAACGTTTTCTGCTTGACCAGACCGAAATTGTTTGCTTGAAAACTATCCCATCTATCGACGGGGACTCATAATCATGTTTTGATCACCTACTTTACGAAAGAAGTTTTGGTTTGTGCAAGCGCAACAGGCGACAGGCCTGCCCCACTCTGTTGTCAGTTGTCTGTTATCAGCTGTTCGTTTGAACGGGCGGTTAAGAATATTTTCGGTGTTGTTTCTGCAGATTTGTCTGTCAACGGTGAAGAAAGTGAGTCCAAACTTCTGTGCACGTGAACGGGAGTCTCCTACGGCTAGGCCTTTCTGTGAACGTTGCCTTATCTTTTGTTTTTTCTGTCACAATTTTAGATCTTTCGTCGCCGCACCGGTGCCCCAACCAGGTTCAATATTTGTAGCTAGCCATGAAGCGCCGATCAAACGTGGCTCCCGTGCGCCCGTGCGAACTGTTCGAATACCGTGAGTCATTTATTTGCTTCTTTCCTTGCTCTACAAAAAGTTTTACTTCATTTTTATATGCACTATCAACCATTGTTTACCACTCATGTGGCGAGGAGGTTCTTCGTTTTTGTTGAACAATCACCTATCCTACCAGAGAAATTTACATGTCATTAAATGTGCGTTACAGGAGTGGCTGAATCTGCAGCTGAGAAGAAACCCATTATGCCTCGACAACTTCACTTCACAGGCAATTCGTCTCGAAAGTCCATGCCTGTTAAGCCGCCAAGATTCAGCACTTCAGGATACGTGCCTCCTCGCTCACGAATCAGTTTATCGGGCAGAGTCAGCCTTTCAGGCAAAGCAACGGGCAGAGTCAGCATTTCAGGCAAAGCAACGCATGATGTTTCGGTGATGGATGGAGTCTCGTTGCTTGGCCAAACCATCAATGAAAGTTCTGATGATGTCACCATACAAGTAAGATTCCTCATATTTTATCATAATTTACATCTCATCATTTGCTTTCTGCTTGTTCAGATTTTAATCTTTGGCAATATTTCAGGTCCTGAAACCAGTTGTTGCTTCCACTTCATCTGAGCCAGTTTGTCCTGTCAGTACATCTCAAGTTTTGAAGAAATCTGATGAAGCTATAACTGACAATGGGCCAAAGAAGTGTAATACATCAGTTTCCAACAAGACCTTTGGTAGTTGTATACAGTCATTATCAGATTTAGGTGAGACTAAGATACCCAAACCCAAAATCTGTACTACTGAGAAGACTAAAAGGACTTCAGCTGAATTGAATTCAACTGCTGCATTTGAAGAGGAGGAAATTGCTGCACTAACGTCAACTCCTCATCACAACCGGAAGTCAAAAAGTATTGTGCCTGCATCGTCAAGTACGTCTGTGAATGCCGAACTTGCGGAACAAATGAAACTTTTTATCATGGATCAAAGAAGCCTTATGCAAGCTGTTAAACTGTCTTGCCAGAAGACAACTTCAGCCATGGAACAAATGAATTCTGTCATGAGCCAAATGAATATATTAGTGGAGAAGTTGACTTTGAAAGTAGATTCACACTCTGAATTCAACAATGTGCTTTCAAAATCTGAAGCATGTCAGAATGATGATAAAATAGCTCTGAGTGATGATAAAGAGAATGTCAATGTTTGTGCAGGAAATACTCGCAAATCAATTTCAATGTTCTCTGACATGAAATCTCAATTTAAGTGTCTGAAAACTCCCACTACAGTTCGGACTCGAACACTCTGTGAAACTCCAAATACTGTTCTCTCTAATACGGTTCATAACCAGCTTGAAAGTCTGTACGAAAGCAGTGAAACTGATACTTAGAGCAACGATTTTCTTTGTCATCAATAATGCATTTCCTTCCATAGCCATTCTTAAAAATATATCCCTGTACTTTCATTATTGTGTGATCTGTGAAAGAAAGATTGTAAATGTGATATTTTTGTCCCACTGAACTGCAGTACAAACAATTTTTTGGATCAACATTTTCTTTTTTTAAATTAAATTTTATAAATGTAAATTGTTTTAATAAATAAGATATACATGTAAATCTGTCTACACTTCTTCACATTCAACCAAGGTCTCTCTCAAATCCGGCTTGGAGATTCTTAGAATACTATTTGATCGAAGGGTGGGTTAGTTACTGAAGTGAGCCATAGCTGCCCCGTCACCGTTATTTCCCCGAGTGCTTGGTGACGGACCACACGACGTCCTTGGCGTAGTCGCCCGTCTGCGCAGCCAGGCTGTGCGCGGAGGCGGAGTCCCTGCCGCGGGTGGCGAGGCTGGCCAGGCTCCGCGGCACGGGGGAGGTGAGCTTGCTCAGGCGGTCCGCCAGCTCCTCGCTGCAGTCCGCGAAGAAGGCCCTGCGGTCCAGCTCGGCCTCGCTCAGCTTCTCGGGTGGCGGTGGCGGCGGCTTTTTCGGCTCGGGCGGCTCGGACCGGAACACGAGTCGACGCCGTCCTCGCGGCGGCGGCGGCTCCAGAGCGCGCTCCATGCGGTACACCAGCTGCTCCAGTTGCTGAAGCTGCGGCCGAGGAAAGGAAAGGACCAGGGTGAGGTGAAATGAGCTTCCTGACAGAACGAACACCCCAGCGGCCGCCTCGAGACTAGACGCACCTTCCTCTGCGCGTCGTTGGCGCTCCGGGTCTGCAGGCGCTCCTCGACGTAGACGTGCTTGCGGGCGCGCTTGACGTGGCCCTGGTCCAGGTAGTCCAGCGCCAGCAGCTCGGCGGCCACGGCGCGCTCCACCGCGCACATCATCTGGTACGAGTTGAGGTGCGAGTCGTTGGGCGCGACGCAGCGCTCGTACAGGTCCTCCACCCACACGCGCAGCGTCAGCACGTTGGAGCTGTCCCTGCCCGTCAGGATGTCCTGCGGCGCAGAGTGCGTTGTTGAAAGCGTCCAGCGGCCCTCCGCGCCGAGCTCCGCGCCCAAAGCGACGCGGCGGCGACGCTCACCTTGTACACCGTGGAGATGATGAGGTCGGCGTGCGTCTGCAGCTGGTTGACGCGGTCCTCCTCCCACGCGATGTCCTTCTCCAGGTCCTCCACCTGCTCCTCCAGCACCCGGAGCTCCTGCTCGACGCGCTGCTTGGCCTGCGCCACGCCGGCCTGCAGCGCCTCCAGCGGCAGCCGCAGCTGCTCGATGTGCAGCAGCGAGGCCAGGCTCTGCGCCGCCAGCGACCGGAACACCTTGACGAGCTGCTCGGGCTCCGTGAAGTACAGCTTGGGCTGGTGGCTGGCTTTCGTCTCCTGGACACGCGCGCCCTGTCAGGCAAGTGCCGCGGCCCGCAGGGCCGCAGGCTGGGGATAAACTCGACCTACTTTACCTCGACGAAGGTGTCGATGATGTCCTGCAGGGACGCGGCGCGGTCCAGCTGGTCCCGACTCAGCAGCGACTGCTGCGTGGCCTGCGTGGCCTGCGTGGCCTGCGTGGCGCCCGAGTGCCGCCGGTCGCCCGACCCGTTGCCGGAGACGGCGTCCGGGGAGGAGGCGGACGCGGCCCTGTCGCTGACGGCGGCCTCCGAGCCCTCCGCGGCCACGCACCCGTTGAGGTGGTCGTGCTCCCGACGCCACGACATGGGGCTCACCAGGTACAGGAACTTCTGCAGCGCGCGCGCGTCCCGCCACTTCTCCTCCAGTTGGTACACCTGCAGCAAACAGACTTCAACCTCTAGGTATTCTCGGGGAACATTTCGTTAAACTTAAAAAAAGGTGGAGTTTTAATTAGCACGTGCTGATGTCCACTGGAGGTTACAGTGCGGTGATTTTCCGGCCCTAGTTGCTCCGCTGCAGGTGCGCAAAATGGTGGAGGAGCCGGGGTTTGAACCCGGGACTTCTCACATGCAAAGCGAGCGCTCTACCACTGAGCTACACCCCCTCCTCTGTTGCAAATGGCGCGCTTCCTCCACAACCCTGCGGGAGAAGAACGACCCTCAACAGAGGCGGCGTGACAGTGACAGCGCCGAGAGCAGCGACCGCTGGGGATTTTGGGGTTCCCCGCAGCAACCGCAGAAACGGAAAGTGGAAGTAACCGAGATAAGCGGCCGACTAGTCACACCAAAATCCCTGGCGATCACGTCAGCGTGTATGAGGGGGTGTAGCTCAGTGGTAGAGCGTTCGCTTTGCATGTGAAAGGCCCCGGGTTCGATCCCCGGCACCTCCACTCTTTTGTTAAATCAATACCAGTAGTTTTTGTAAATATTTTTGAGTAGAGCAAAAAAAATATAGATGCATCGGCCGGGAATCGAACCCGGGCCGCCCGCGTGGCAGGCGAGCATTCTACCACTGAACCACCGATGCTTCCGATAGCTCAGTGGGAGTCAGTTTGCAACACAAGCAGCAAGTCGACGCGGAGTCGAGTGGGTCGGGTACTCGAGTACCCACCCGAGCGGTTGGACTAGGTCGGCTCTGCTGACGGGGCAACCAGTGGCTCGTTGGTGCACGTTGGCCCCTTGCGTCGTCCGGCCTAGTGGGCCACGCGGCACTCAATGAGGCGATCAACTCTTATCTCGCATCCGGTCAAACGATACAGTACTTCTTTCTGATTTTGATTTCCAGAAAGCGCCCCCCCCCAAAAAAAAAGTTCAAGACAATGGTAAGATCTCGTTTTTTAAAAAAACTTTTTTCCTGTTTTTCCTCATTTTTTGTTTTAAAAATTGTGGAGATGCCGGGGATCGAACCCGGGGCCTTTCACATGCAAAGCGAACGCTCTACCACTGAGCTACATCCCCTTCCGCGTCATGTAGGCCGTCCGCCAGGCGCGAGCATCGGGAAGCGGCGCGGCCGCAGTGGATTTCCCCCCTCTCCTCCTCCCCCTCCTCTCCGCCGAACGCGCGGTGCTAATTCCAATAAGCCAATCAGCAGCGAGCAGAAACGCAAACCGCCCGGCCCGAGGCCCAGCTCACCTTGGTGCGCATCAGCCCTAGGGTCCGTATCCACACTTTGATTTCAGAGTCCTTGTCGGCGGACTCCTTGGCCGCCCGGTCGGCCTTCTTGAGCAGCTCCATGGAGGCGGCGTGGTCTTCGGCCAGGAACTGGTCGAACAGGTCGACGTACTGCTTCTGCTGCGCCAGGATCTGGTCCAGGCGCTGGCTCTCCAGCCGAAACTGCTCGTCCACCAGGATGCACTCGTCCTCGTTGTAGCCGATCTTGAGGCGGACGCGCACCAGGTCGCGGATGTGGCCGATGTACTCGCGCACGCTGACGCGGTCGCGGTTCGGCCGGCCCTCCACCATGGTGTAGAACTCGGGGTCCATGTCCACCATCGTCTTCTCCACGGGCGGCGGGTCCTCGGGGATGTGCAGGCGGCGCAGCAGGTCCGCCGTGAGGCGCGTGTGCGCATTGTGCTGAAAATAGAACAGCCACACATGTTTTCAGGGTTTGCCTTAGACATCCGTGGGAATCCGAAGACATTTTCCCACTTATGGTTTGTTTAATTTTTCTTTTGGTAGGCTTCGTGCTTGATTGGAACCACCTTCTTGTGCACGGGGAGGGCGAGCTCCCTCTGCCGGTCCTTGCGCTGCTTGTCCCTCTGGAAGGCCACGAAGGCCGCGAAGTGCTCGGGCGGCGGCACCCAGAAGGGCTTGTCCTTCTCCTCGGCCTTCTTCTGCTCGCCGCCGTCATCGTCGGGCTCTTGCCGGCCGCTGGTGACGTAGTACGTGGACCGCTTCTGGTTCCTGGATACGGAGGAAAGAGCGAAAACATGAATGGCACCCTACGGCAAACATGGGGGGAAGAAGGACCGGACAAATTGTGTACCTCTGTTTGAAAATTTTCTGCAGCACCGTCGGGGCGCGAACCCGCGGCCGCAAGTCGAGACGCGGTCCCTCCAGGCGGCGCTTGAAGCGCAGGCGCCTGAGGTACTGGCGCACCTCGGGCTCGGTGGCCATCTCGTCAGCTCGGAGCTGACTTGCGTCAGCAGCGTCAGCACGGCCTCGTCAGCTCGCCGTCAGTACCTCGCGCAGGTGGCATTGTTGGCGGCGCCCGGCGTCGCGACGCACTAGAGCGGCTGCACCAGCGCGATGCGCCCGGACGGACGCGCCCCGCGGACCCCCGAGGGGCCCCGCGCTGCCACTGGCTGCCGCTGGCTGCCACCCCCGCACGGCGCCCCTAGGCGCCCCACGTGCCGTTGCCACGGCAACTGGCTCGCCACCCACTAAACGAAATGCGATCCGCGGCAGCGGTTTGTTTCAATAAATTGGATGAACAACGCCAAATGCGTCGCTTTGTTGCTTTTCAGGCCGCGAGGAAACCTTGGTCATGAAGGAGCGAGGGAATGCCCCGGCTGTCCCTTTGCTTTCCACCGTTCGTTTCAAAATCGGTGCGGTGTAAAGCAATGGCAGCCGAGCGACGAAGCGCTTTAGTGTAAGCAGGTTCGGCCCGCAGTCCGCGTGCCCCATCATGCCCCCTGCCTGGCCTGCCCGGCCCGCCCGGCCTGCCCTATCGGCACCCCCACTCCCCGGCGCCCACTTTTACTTTCACCATCGGCGGCCCGGCGGCCCGGCGGGGCCCCTCGCGGTGTCGTCTTCGCGCCGCGCGGCAAGTCGAGGGACGCCGTCACTGCAGCTTATACGAAGCATCGGTGGTTCAGTGGTAGAATGCTCGCCTGCCACGCGGGCGGCCCGGGTTCGATTCCCGGCCGATGCAATCTTTTTCGTTTGCTGAAACTAAGGGCAGCAGTGAAAGACGATGGTGACTGCGCGACAGCAGCCCAGAAACTCGGTTCATCAAGACAGGCGTCATTTTGCGGGGAAGGCGAAGCACTCCGGCCTGGGGTTCTCCCGCCACGGCCACCCCATGCCGCGCCCTCCATTGCCCCCTCGCGCGGGGGCGAGCGTGCCAGCGTGGTGCCTGGCACCGAGAGCCCCGGAAGGGCGGGGGCCGCGGGGGCGGCGGTGTCCGCAGCGGGGGTTTGGCTCCCCCGGCTCCCCGCTTCAGTGCACAAACACTCTGACGGGTGTCGGTCGCGAAGAATGCCCTCGCGTCCAGGACCTCCAGGACGACCTCCAGGACGACCATGGGCAACAGCCTGGGCTGCGGTAGCTGCGGAAGGCCCATCGCCGCCAACGACGGCTCGGTGCTGGACCGCGTCATCTCGCAGGTACGCCCAGTTTACAGTGCCCGTCCCCGCCGACGCCTCACTGACTATGACACGCTGTGTTTCCCGCCCAGGCGTCCAACGAGGACGACTGCCTGCTGTACCGCCTGGCCAACTACAAGAACGGCGGCGAGCTGATCGACGCCTACAATGTGGGCGGCCAGGTGGAGGTGGAGAAGCTGATCCGCGAGCAGTTCGGCGTGCTCATGTACTGCGACGGCAAGGGCCAGGTCATCAACCGGGCCGAGTACCTGCGCTGGAAGTTCCGCGACCTCAAGCAGGTCGCGATCGAAGATCGGATATCGCAGCAAAGAGGTGGGTTCGTTTAGGTGCGCGACGTTCACGTTTCCGCGTTTTGGTTTTGGCAGGTGGTGCTCCCCATCGAGGCGTCCCTCAGCCCCCACGACCCCCTGGCCAAGTGGGAGGACCACGAGGCGTGCTGGCAGATGCAGTACCGAGGCTCCCTGGGTAAGCCCCGGGCCCCGGCCTCGGCCCGGGCCGGCTGCACCGCGGATGTTGGAAACGGGTTGACACTGTTGTCTCCTCGCAGGCGAGACCCTGCTGCACGTGCTCATCATCTGCGACACCAAGCTGCACACGCGGCTGGCGCGCCTCATCATCAAGTGCTTCCCCAAGCTGGCGCTGGACGTGGTGGAGGGCGAGGAGTACCTGGGCGCCAGCGGGCTGCACCTGGCCATCGCGTACGCCAACAACGAGCTGGTGCAGGACCTGGTGGACGCGGGCGCCAACGTGATGCAGCGCGCCATCGGCAGCTTCTTCCTGCCGCGCGACCAGCAGCTGGCGCGCGCCAAGAAGCACACGGACTACGAGGGCCTCGCCTACCTGGGCGAGTACCCCCTGGCCTGGGCGGCCTGCTGCGCCAACGAGAGCGTCTACAACCTGCTGTGTGACAGCAGCGCCAACCCGGACGCCCAGGACTCGTTCGGCAACATGATCCTGCACATGGTGGTGGTGTGCGACAAGCTGGACATGTTCGGCTACGCGCTGCGACACCCGCGCCTGCCCGCCAAGAACGGCATCTGCAACAAGGCCGGCCTCACCCCGCTCACGCTGGCCTGCAAGCTGGGCCGCGCCGAGGTGTTCAAGGAGATGCTGGAGCTGAGCTGCCGGGAGTTCTGGCGGTACTCCAACATCACCTGCTCGGCCTACCCGCTCAACGCGCTCGACACCCTGCTGCCGGACGGCCGCACCAGTGAGTACGCATTTCCGTTCTAAAAATTAAAATTCGCAGCGTTTTGAACCCCGTGGCTGGTTTTGCAGACTGGAACTCGGCGCTGTTCATCATCCTGAACGGAACCAAGGAGGAGCATCTGGACATGCTGGACGGAGGGATCATCCAGCGCCTCCTCGAGGAGAAGTGGAAAACGTTTGCCAGGGTAAGGACGACGAATTTCACTTTGCGACTGCTGGCCCTGCGGTAGATCTGAACGGCGGCCTCTCCGTTTGCAGCAACAGTTCCTGAAGCGGCTGGGCATCCTGGCCCTCCACCTGCTCACCCTGAGCATGGCGGTGTACCTGCGGCCCGAGCGCAAGGCCAGCGACGTGGCCGTCGAGGAGGAGTGGGACGTCACCGCCGTGCTGAGGGCGAGCTTCGAGGTGGGCACGCTCTGCAACATCATGTCCTACCTGCTGCTGCAGCAGGGCGGCGAGATCAAGAACCAGGGGCTGTCGTCCTTCCTCAAGCAGCTCGTAGGTCACCTCGTTGAACACCAGCAGGTGGAGTGCCAGGTCGCAGGTTCGAATCCCGAGTGCCGCTTTGTTTTGTTCCAGGGCAACGCCCCGGCCAAGGCCATCTTCCTCGTGTCCAACTTCATGATCCTGCTGTGCATCCCGTTCCGCATCAACGGCGACCACAAGACGGAGGAGGCCATCCTCCTGTTCGCGGTGCCTGGGTCCTGGTTCCTACTCATGTTCTTCGCAGGGTACGTATCCAACCGTCCGTCGGCGTCAGTATAGTGTGCCTGGCTTCATGCTCGCTGCCTTGCAGGGCGGTTCGCCTCACCGGGCCGTTCGTCACCATGGTGTACTCCATGATCACCGGCGACATGCTCACCTTCGGCATGATCTACACCGTGGTGCTCTTCGGCTTCTCGCAGTCCTTCTACTTCCTGTACAAGGGCTTCCCCGGCGTCAAGAACTCGCAGTATGACTCGTACGCCGCCACCTGGATGGCCCTCTTCCAGATCACCCTCGGCGACTACAACGTGCGTGCAAGTTCCTCCAGCTGCGTTCCAGCCGACTGCATAGCACTAATCGAACTTTTTGTTGTGCAGTACCCGGACCTGAGCAACACGACGTACCCCGCGCTCAGCAAGACCGTGTTCGCCATCTTCATGGTGCTGGTGCCCATCCTGCTGCTCAACATGCTGATCGCCATGATGGGCAACACGTACGCGCACGTGATCGAGCAGAGCGAGAAGGAGTGGATGAAGCAGTGGGCCAAGATCGTGGTGACGCTGGAGCGGGCCGTGCACCAGACGGACGCGCACCACTACCTGCAGGAGTACTCCATGAGCCTGGGGCCGAGCGACGACCCCGCCACGGAGCAGCGCGGCGTGCTGGTCATCAAGAGCAAGTCCAAGACCAGGGCCAAGCAGCGCAAGGGCGCCGTCTGCAACTGGAAGGCACGTTTCTTATCATCCAGCATCGCCAGGGACTCGGGGCGAGGCACTGAAACGGTTCTCTGTTCAGAGGGTGGGCAAGGTGACCATCAACGAGCTGCGCAAGCGCGGCATGTCCGGCGAGCAGCTGCGCCGTATCATGTGGGGCCGCGCGTCCATCTCCACGCCCGTCAAGACCAAGAAGGGCGCCAAGGCGGGCCTCGGCGGCGTCAGCGACCTCACGTGAGTGCCGCGTGGGGGCAGCCTGCGAAAGGTGTCACCAAGTGTACATGACGAGGCCCTGCTTGTCCGCTTGCAGCGCCCTGGTGGCGGCGGACCCCTTCGCGATGGACGCCTCCATGGCGGTGGACGTGCGTCCCCTGGACGGCGGCCCCAAGCCGGAGGGCCAGGGCTTCGGCGCCCTCACCGCCGCCATGGACATGCTGGCCTTCTCCAACGACCTCAGCCTCCCTGACGGAACCACCCCCGGCCCTGCCCCCGCCGCTGCCCCCGGTGCTGCCCCAGGAGCTGCCCCAGGAGCTGCCCCCGGCGGGGCTCGGCCTCCAGGGGCGGGTCCAGCGCCGCTCCCCGGCGCGCCCGCCGCCAAGCCGGGCGTGGTCATGAATGGCGTGCCGCCCCAGATGAACCCCGTGCACTCCGTGCACCCCGTGGCGGTGCGGGCCGCGGCCCCCGCGCCGCCGGGAGCGCCCGCTGCACCAGGTTGGCTAAATCCAAGTCGGCTCTCTGTACCCGAGCCCACTCCCTGTTTGAACTTGAAACATTGGACCACCCTGTTGCCTCCAGCCCTCGGCGTGGTGCCCACGACGCCGCCGCCGCCCTACCCGGGCACCGGGGCGTCTGACGGCAACCCCCTGGCCGTGAACGCGGCGCTGCCGAGCCAGCTCGCCGGCCAGGCCAGCCAGGGCGGCCAGGGCCAGGGCCAGGGCCCCGACGACCCGATGCGAGAGCTGGTGCTGGTGGCCGACGTCCACAGCTACAGCCAGGAGCACCTGGCCGCGCTGGCGCGCAGGGCCGCGGACACGGACCACTTGGAGGAGGTGACCGCCGAGGAGATGGGCTTCGCCATGGGGCGGTTGGTGCCGGGAGGCCGCGCCGCGCGCTCCCTCGCCGACCACAAGCAGCCCGTCACCCTGGACATCAGCGACAGCGACGACTTCGGAGGTGAGTTTTGGCGGTAGCCTGCGCGGACACTGGTGCTGTACTAGAGGTGACGGTCGGTCTTGTTGGCGCAGAGGGTCCGCTGCTGGGCCGCGTGGCGCGCCTCCGCCGCGCCCGCTCCGCTGTGTCCAGGGAGGGCGGCGGGCTGCGGCTGCACCTGGACGACGGCTACTCCTCGTCGACGGCGTCCTCGTTCGACGCGGGCAGTCCGTGCGCCGCGCCCGCCGTGCCCGCCGCCCCCTTCATCATCCCGCCCCTGGCGCCCCAGCCCCCCGCCCAGCCGGCCCCGCAGCACAAGCAGCAGCCTCCGCAGCCACCACCGCAGCAGCAGGCAGAGCCAGCACCCGGCGGCAACGGCAAGAAGCACCGACACAAGCACAGGCCGAAGACGGCCAAGCCGAACAGGTCGGCCGCGGATTCCTTTGCTTTCGCCTACTTTGCTTTGTGTCTCTTCTTGAACCACTGTCCGACTCCCTGTGGCAGGGTGGCGCCGTCCTCGGACGCTCCCCCCAGGAGGGGCGCGTCGGCCGGCCCCAAGGCCAGCGACAACCCCCTGAGCGGGAGTGGCAGCGGCAGCGGCGACAGCCAAGACCCCCTGGAGCCCTGGAGCGTGCGTGGCATCGAACCCATGAACGCGCTGCTCGCCTGGGACCAGGGCGAGCACGACAGCATGTAAGGGTCCCGGGTTCGAAACCCAAGCAATTCTTTTGGTTGTTTCTCTTTCGTTTTCCTTTTTTTATTGACATTCGAAGTTATGCTATGAAGGTCTTGGAATCTCAAGGACAATACAAATAAAGACACTGTAGAATATTCTCATTTATTAAATGTTCCACTCATAATCAACGCTGGTACATAAGTTTGTTTACTTTTCAAGTACAGTGGTACTTCACAAAGATTTACACTTTGCTCACATACTATGCATCAGAGACATTGTTGTTTTTAAACACAATAAAGCTCTGGTGTCGAAACACCTTGGTTGCGCAGCACACAAGCAGACATTGATTTTTAAGAATTTCTTCTGCCCGAAAACAATGGGAAGAATCAACTGGCATTGCCAAACTGTGCAAGTAAATAAGTATAAAAACCTAACAATATCACAAATCTATCATCCTTAACACTTCAATGTATCAGTTTCAATGGCACTTACAGTGACCATTACTCATAGTATTCAAATAAATGTCAAGGCCCGACTTCTGCAAAATTGATATTTTAAAAAATGACTTTCCCTGGTTCGATTTCATTACACAGAGCAGGTAGGACAAAAAATAAGATAAATCAGCACTCATTTATAAAAAGCAAACAAAAAACAAACTTTTTAGCAAACTTGTGATGCATCTTGAGGTGAGAAAAAAAAGTGGTTCTGCAAAACTTAATCAACTTTAGTCCTAGACATCACAGTTTTGAATTATTCAATCAGTTTCAGAAGATATCAGACTTACAACTCTAAAAGAGCTCAAAACCCTCTACTTGTTCTTCTACTCAAAAAAATTTGAAAAATGGTCCAAGCTAAAAAGAAAGAGTTTATGTCTAGAAATATTTTTACTCCAACTTTTAAAATAACCAACTAACAGAACAAGCACAGGCAACACAAGAAATAACAAGTCAAGACTATTTAATACAGCAAAGGAGGAACATGCAAAAAACTATTTACATTAAAGAAAAGTTTGACACATAAAATAAAGAAGACCACAGGGATTGATTTGAAAATTGACTAAGGAAGACAAGTCAAAGAGTTGTAAACAAAATCATTTCTGTGCACAAAACTGATTCTTTAATCTTCTTAAAAAGAAACAACAGACAAACCTTATAATCTAATGGTTTTTGCAAGTTCTGAATCCGCTACTGTGGGAGGTTGCTGAATGTGAGGATTACTTCGCAATATGACCTCTAATGTTTTTATTTTCCAGTTGTCTTCAGCGCAAGGATCTTGAGCTAGTAAGAATAAGTTTTCAAATACACCCAGGGGGCTATCACAAACAGAAAGAGTTGGGCGAGTTGCAGCTGGTCGTTGATGCAAAGTACCACAGACCAGAACTAATAAAAGACCACTAACATTTCCTCTGCCCCAGATGCCTTCTGGACTTGTGTTAGGATTTAAGAACAACTGGTGCTCCACCAAGATTTGATTCAACAAGGCAGACTGAAAAATGAAAAAGAAAAAAATTATTATTATTACAGTATATTAGCACATTTAGCCATAGAGAATACAGTATGATGGGCAACTTACAACATTTGCTCCACCCTGTGCAGCTTTGTAATCTGAGTCAGCTTTACGTTTCACTATAAGATTAATATTTGCATCCGGCCAGAAGTCGTCAGGGACTAGTCCCCCAGGCTGATTGACTCGCTTGTAGAACCAGTTCGCAAATTCGCTAATTATAGCTGAATCTCTTGGAACTGGCTCAGGCATACTGCTGAAAATACTCACACCACTCACTTGACTATAAGTTGTTGTGGTAACTCTTTCCTGCACGGTAATTTTTGTGGCTGATGTAGCTGCTAGGTAAAGCTGCAAACAAAAAATGAAGTCATATGATAAAGTCAATAGAACATTTAGGTAAGATACATATAATTAATAAAATAGCAAACCTGTGCAGCACTAGGAAGATTTTGATCACCAAAGGGATGATGATTTGTTATCTGCATCGGTGCAATTGGGTTGTTTACATGTTCAGCCACTCCCCAAGGTGATGTCGGAACTACATCTTTTCCCGTACTTCGATGGGTGGGGGCATGGTTAAGGCTTCCCTTACTGACAAGTTCCTTAATTTGCAGCTCTAGTGCTGCTTTGTCAGTGTTAGGAACTGATATTTTCCTTTCATTCAGGTACTTAAATAAATTTTCCTTGGTCACTTTCTGGCGTTTCAAGAATTCATCGAGAGACGCTGAATGCAAAAGAATTGCTTCAACACAGGCTGCAAACAGAAAGCAAAGAAACTAGACTGTTAGAGTTGCCATTAGGCAGCAGGATGCAATTTCAAGTTAAAATATAGTGAAGAGATTGGTGCATAACCAAAGCTCAACATAGTAAACAAAAAACAAATACATACCCTCTCTGCTGTCTGCTTTCACCATTCGGCGAGTGACAGTGGACATTAAGGCTTGAACATTTTCATCGCTCATTAATTTGAGGAATTCCTTCATGAACTGCTGTTCGTTTTCAGTGAGGTGTGACATCGTAACTAGAGGAGGGAATACACATATGCGTCATCAGAGGCAAAAATTGTCGTCTCCGTTCCGTTTTTCCTCCCGTAGATTTTCAACGTCGTAGCCTTTTCTTTTCATCCTGCTCCGCCCTGTAGAAATTCTCAAGACTAACGCCGCCCTAGAGATGCTAGAAGTTAGAGGGGTTCGTTTAGTTGGGTTACGTGGTCACGTGACTTCAGCCAAGGCAAGATTTCAGTCATTTCATTCATCGTAAACTCACTTTCTGATTGAATGCAAGAGAATCGATTTCAGAAGACCAGTTGGGTCGTCGGAAAAGATGATTTTGTTTTGCTGTCCCTAGAAATCACATGCTGGTCACAGGGCGCTCAGTTTTTAAGCGCCTGTGGGAAGCGTGCGTAATGGAACGTACCCTACCACTGCTGCAACGCTTCAGTTGATTCAGTTTGCCTCAACGAACGTCTGTCGAAAGTTGTGTCTGTTAGTGTGTGTGATATCTTGAACACTTTTGGATATTTTCAATCGCTTCGGTAAGTGTTTTGACCACATCGATGACTTTGATTGGCCCCCGTCGTCGCATAAATGCCGTTTTTCTGGACCATTGACGTCAGAGTGACTTTGACAGCGTATTCTAGACAGTCGAATGGGGAGGAAACCAAAATGGCTGTACACCGTCGACGTATATTAATATTACGAGACTAGATCCAGCTGTATTTTGAAATATATTCACCCAATGTGGTTCGGTTGCCCGGGTAGCCATGAGGCGACTAGGCTGCTTGTCAGCACCCTGCTGACGACAGTCGGGTTGTCTCCGAACAGCTGTACTCGTTCGAACAGGCCAGACAAGTCTCTGGTTCCTTTCATATTTTATGTCATTGAATGGGAATGCCACTCCATTCAATGGACAGCTCGAAAAATTTGTTTTTTCGTCAGACGAATGATAACATTGATTTTCTTGTTTATTTTCCAATTTCCATGTGTTGTTAAAGCTTGTTTAAATTCACTTTAACCTCTCTGTATTGTCATGTTGCCGACAGTTCTAACTCTGAATGATGCACCTAATCCGTAGCGGAAAACAATTTTCTGCCTGCAATTGACTGGCACAGTTTATTGTTAGTATTTCTTGTATATTTTCAATGTTTTGTAAGATGCTCTTATTTTGTTTTGGACTCGAATGCTCTTCACCCAAAGTTAATTTTTCTTCATAGTATTTTCTTCTGATTTGATTACATTTCTAAAGAGGCTGCCAAAGTCACTGACAAAGATTGGACTTACTGTAGAGGTCTGAATTATTAGATGATTAACAGGGTTTGTTCCAAGTTGCGGTTTCAACTGCGTAACACTGACTAGCTTTTTGCGCTTTTTTCCTGCCAAAGCATACTTGAAGCCACCCATTCTAAAGAAAGGAAAACTCCAGTTCTTTAGAGAAAAGAATTCGAATGAATGGTGTGACATTTGTACTGGTTACTACAAAGCTGTCGCTAGACAGCTGCGTGGCTGGTACGGAAATTGTAGATATTGAATGCCATGATGTGGCGGCCCCGGCCACTACACTTTATTGAAGCTGCCAGACCCGAATGGTCTGTTGAACTGTTTCCTAACGGTGTACTGAGAGGCTGTGACAACCAGTCCTCCCCCCTCCCCTCCTGCTTGCTGCTCCTTCCTCTTTCGGGTGTCTGGATGTTCTCAGGGGCCGGTGACTGGCGCGCACAGACACACCTGCCGTGGCGTGGCGTGGCGTGGCGTGGCGTGGCGTGGCGTGCCCGGCCGAAAGGGGCTCCTGTGGGACCCGAAGGGCGTAGAGAGGCTTCCCGGGAGGACGGCCACCTGCTCTGGGGACTCGGGGGACTCTGGGGAGAAGCGTTTACTCTTTGGAGCGTTTTCGTCTCGCGACCTGTCGCTGCTAGTGCCACTGGATCCGCCCCTGGCGTGGCCTCGGTGCGCCATACGCGGGGGGTAATTGTCGCACCTGGGTGCTGTTGATGTACCCAGCAGAGAGTCCCGGGGGCAAACCCCGGGCGGGAACGGTGGGCGCGGGTTCGAATCCTCCCTCCCGCCAGTGGCAATGTTTCTTTTTTCTTTTTCGGGTGGACCTTCCTAAGGGCTCCGAGTGCATCACCTCGGGTAAACAAGTCGGCCGGCCCGCTGCAGTCGCTGCAGTCGCTGCAGTGGGGGCGCGGGGGCGTGGGTCGATCCCCCTGCGGGGCCGGGGGGCTGGGCTGGGGCGGCCCGCAGGTCGGCCTGCAGCATGGCGGTGTTTTGAGCGGGGGTATTTTTGGAAGGGACTGTCCTGGCCGCGCTGGCCGCGCTGGCCGCGCTGTCGCCGCCCGTCGCGGTCCGCGATGACGGCGTCACGTGGATAGTGCACGGACCGGCAGGCAGGCTCCGCGGCTCCGCGGGGACTCTGTTTTATGCGGCAACGAGTTAGGCCGGTGACGTATGCGACTTGACTTCTCGGAGCGAAAGTCCGCGCGTAACCTGTAGCTTTTTATTTCCGTTTGATTGGGGGCGGGTTTGCGCTTTCCCAGGCAGTGCTTTGCAGCCTCTTGGCTCCCCTGCCCCCGTTGGCCTAGGTCAGGCGGCCGTCAAGCAGCACAGCACAGCGCAGCACAGCTCGCCTCGCTGGCAGGCGGACTGATATCGAACTCCCATACTAATTCATGACATGCCCCTGACGTCGCGTGGCGGGGCGGGGCGGGGCGGGGCTTGGGGGTGGTTTGGATCGATACAAGGCCGGCCGGCCGGCCGAGGGGCGGCAGTTTCAAGACGGGGAAGTGCACCGACTGTCGTCCGGCACCAATCCCCTAGTTCACCTCCAGTTTTCCACATTTTCGCTGTCGTCGCCTCGTTTCCAGTCCTTCCTCTTTTATGTCATGACTTAAAAAAAAATGCAATTTTTTTAAAAAAATTGTGTTTATTTTTGTGAGGTTGTTGTTGCTGCGTTACCTCATTGGGATCGCGTGCGTGCGTGCGTTGGCCGTGCTGGGCACGCCGATGCCTCCCCGATGCGATGCCTCCGCTTTCCCCGCCCGTCTATCCCCGTCTCTCTCGCACTCGCGGGGCTCGCGAGGCGGGACAGCGATTGAGCGGTCAACCGCGCGGTGCAGCAGCACTAGTATGACGCGAACGGGGCGGCTGGATGGCACGCTGGGCATTTTGGTTGGCACTTGACGGCAAGGAGCTCTGATGCAAAATGACAATGTCATCAATTTTTGGAGGCATTGTCCGCATTGATGAGTGATGGAGGTGACATTGACGGTTTAAAGTGACAGCGGGTTTTGACAGTGCACCGCGCTGCTCCTCCTTACAGTGGCGCCGCGTCGCGGAATGTTGCAACGCCCCAATCACTTTCGCTGCTCTGCTTTGTCGAGGGGGGGGGGGGGGAGATCATCTCGATCCCTCGGAGTGTCTGCTCGACCCGTGTTGCGGAGCGAGTGTAATGGAGCTCGATTATTGAATGCCGGCTCGGCTCGCGGCCCTCGCGGGTCAAAGGCCGGCAAGGCCACGGACGTCGCTGGGCGTTGTAATTATTTTCCTCCGCTGCCACCGCGGCCCGGTGGGGTGTAGGGTTTGGCCGTGTATTTCGATTGTGATTTATTTTGGCCGTTTCGCAATGGTGGGCCGTAACTCCGAGCGATACCGGCCAATCGTGCCGAAATGTAAACAAAGCAGAAAGCGGCGCGGAAAGCGTTTTTCTTCGGATGCGTGTGCACAATGTAAATGAGTTGCTGGCGCGCGGCCCTTGCCCTGCAGTGGCGTGCCCTGCAGTGGCGTGCCCTGCAGTGGCGTGCCCTGCAGTGGCGTGCCCTGCAGTGGCGTGCCCTGCAGTGGCGTGCCCTGCAGTGGCGTGCCCTGCAGTGGCGTGCCCTGCAGTGGCGTGCCCTGCAGTGGCGTGCCCTGCAGTGGCGTGCCCTGCAGTGGCGTGCCCTGCGGTCGGGGCCTGGTCATGGTATCCCCGAGGATCCCTACTCGTTCCCGATCCCCTCGCCTCGATTTCTCTGGCCGTGTCTGACTCTACGACGGCATTCCTGCCGGTGGACAAGTGGAGGCGCAATCCCGCAATCCCAGAGGCCAGCCCCGCCAGCGCGGCCAGCACACTGCATCCAATTTGCGACTGTGCACCTCTCGGGTCTTGCGGGTCAGGCGATACGACTAGCGGTACAGCGCCCTGGACCGGCACACCGCGGCAGACCGGCACCGCGCTGGCCTGGACGGCCTGGACACAGAGATCCTGCTGCACAGCGGTCTCCTTCGCACAGTGGACCTGGCGGGCAAAATCTCGGACGCGTTTTGAGCTCCAGAGTCGCTAAAAGGGACTCGAACCGAACGTGTGACCCCACCAATGGACTCCTCGTTCGGAGAGCAATCCATTGATGGGGTCACACGTTCGGTTCGAGTCCTGGTTAGCGGCTCTGGAGCTCAAAACGCGTCTGGCGTTCTCGTCTTACAGTGTGTTCGTTATTCTCGTGTGTGACACAACGTGATCGCCCGGCCCGGCAGACCGAGGTTATCAATCTTCCTCTCTGGTGTGCGAGCGAGATGGCTGCACTTTCGCTGTGGCGCTGCTTTGCGGGTTCGCCGTGCAGGGCGTGCAGGTGTCGGAGGCCAGGAAGGTGCTGCATTGGGTGTGCGAAGCTGCGAAGCGCTTTCTCTGTCGCCGAGCTCCAGGTCCTCCAGGTCCTCCAGGTCCTCCAGGTCCTCCAGGTCCTCCAGGTTCTGCAGTGGGGTGGTGCCCTGCTCTGGCCGCCCTGGCCCTCGGTGCAGTAGGTGCTGGACCGACACACTGGCCCAACCGCTCGCTCTCCCCATTGTTGTCGTTTTTCCCTCCGTCTCTCTCTCCCTCTCTCTCTCTCTCTCTTTCCCCCTCCTCCTCGCCTCAAACGAAAAAGATGAGTGGCGGTCGTAAATCGTCAAAGGAAATTGCAAGAAGGGATTCGCCGACTCACGGGGAGTGAAACGTCCGGGCCGACTCGTCTGGCCGACTCGGATCGGTATCTTACCCGGCGCGGCGCGGGTTCGAGTCCCGCCGTCGCCACGCGTGGAGGCTTTTTCTGTTTTTGTTTTGCGCGCGCGGTGGTTCGCAATGTGCAGCGCAGATTGCCTCGCTGGCGGCAGTCGCCTCTAGGAAGCTGCAGCGTGCTAACGTCTGTATTAGCGCAGCTGTCTGTCTAGCTCGGCGACAAGCCGGTCTAACCTCTCTCTCTCTTTTGCCCTGCCTGTCCCTCTCTGTCCCTCGTCTGCACTGCTCTAGGTTGAGTGGAGGCCACTGCCGAGAAGAGTCGCTTCGTCGCTCTGTCTCTCTCGCACCCATGGGACTCGCCGTTGGGGTGCGACGGGTCTCGAAACGCGTTTCCACTTTCTTCGCGCGACGTATGGCTCGGCTTCCGCGCAGGCGGCGGCTGCTTCTTTCGAGAGGCAGTGGCTTGAAAAAATCAGTAGTAGCTGCCGTGGACCTTCCTGTTGCCGGCTGTTGCAGCGAGTGCTGCTGCCGGTCACTCTGTCTCGCTGGACGGACTGGCTGGACTTGCGG